CCAACCCTTCTCCCCATCCTGCTTAACTTTGACGCTCTGGCCTGGCTGCAAAGGGGGTAGGTTGCGTGCAGAGTGGCGTCTATTATAGAAGAATCTGGTGGCATGCTTGGTTCGCTGATCTTTCTTGCGCACTTGCTCATAATGGATGGCAGCTTTTGATTTGCCGACCAGTCATCAGCTGTGTCGGACTCATTCCAGTGGCATTAGTAGGAGTGGCCCGGTAACTCATTAGTGCCATCCACAGCAGACAGGTGAGCCCTAGCAGCATGGAACTCTGTGGACGACAGTCTGGATATTTCCCTGGGCCAGCCTTCCTGGACAAACATGCCAACTGCATTCAGATCACCATCCGCTTGGATGGCAGCTCTACGTGTGTCCAGTCTGTCTCCAGCCACCGGCCTAGTGGACATGATGGCTTGTACGTAAGCTTCCACTTCCACCTCTGTGTTGGATGGATTGCTTTCTGTGAGTGGGTTTCTTGACAATGTGTCCGCTACTACCAGCTGCTTCCCTGGAATATGGACTGCAGTGACGCTGAATCTCATTAAGCGCATTAACAGGCGCTGACATCGCAGTGGTGCCTTGTCGAGGTCATATGAATTTATTAGGGGAACGAGTGGTTTATGATCTGTCTGAAGACAAAATCTGTGCATACCTTGTAGATATCGTGCAAACCACTCACACGCCCAGACTGCTGCTAGGCACTCTGGGAATACCGCTGCTCAGTCTGGGTCAGCATTCGAGAGCAAAAAGCAACTGGATGTAGTCCTCCTCCCTGCTGTTGTAGCAGGGCAGCCCCAAGGCCATGGCTACTAGCGTCTGCGCTCACTACCGTAGGCTTGCTGCTATCATAGAAGGCTAAAGCAGGTGCTGAAACTAGCATGTTCTTAACCTGATCGAATGCTTGTCTTTGGGCATCCCCCCATACCCATACAGCATCACTCCTTAGCAGTTCGGTGATAGGGTGCAAAACAGCAGACAGCCCCGGGAGAAACTTGCCCAAATAGTTAATCATCCCTAACACCTGGCAAAGTTCAGTAATGTTTGTCGGACTGGGAAGGTCTGTGATGGCTTTGACTTTGCCAGGGTCTGATGCCATTCTTCCCGATTACATGTCCGAAGTATTGGATTTCTGACTTTCCAAATTGGCATTTGCCTCGATTTAACTTCAGCCCAGACTCCTTTATTGTCTGAAGTACTGCCCTGAGGTTTTGGTCATGTTCCTGTTTGTCCCGATCATAGATCAAAATGTCATCCATCACTGCCACTACACCTGAGTGACCCCTCAGAAGCATGCTCATTTCTCTTTGAAAGATTTCAGGTGCGGATGTAATCCCAAATGGGAGACGCTTAAAACAGAACCTGCCTACAGGTGTAATGAATGTAGTTAACTTTCTACTGGAGGCTTCAAGGGGTATTTGCCAGAACCCACTTGATGCGTCAAGCATGGAGAAAACTGCAGTGCCCGACAACTTTGGTGCTATGTCCTCAAGTGTTGGGAGTATAAATCTCTCCCGTTTCACAGCCTCATCTAGTCTTTTCAAGTCCACACAAATCCTCACCTTTCCGTTTCTCTTCATCACTGGCACCATGGGTGCACACCAATCAGTAGGTTCTTTGACTTCTTCAATAATGTCTAACTGCTGCATGCGTCTTAACTCCTCTTCCACTTTTGGTAACATTGGGAAGGGCACACGGCGGGGACTGGTGAGACTGTAAGGCTTAGCATCAGACTTAAGCTCAATCATAATTGGTTCACAATCTAACAGACCAATGTCACCAAACAAATCATCTCCTATTTCAACTTCCTCCATTCTCTGTACTAGCCCCCATGTTGCAAGCAACTTTCCTGCTAAGCAGATTCTTGGTATATGGGCCCTTGAGCACATAGATCCAAAAGCTAAAAGTTTGCCCCTTTCTCCGTGTGGAAGCGAGAAATTTACCCAGGCAGTTTAGTTTTTCACCAGGACTCCACACACTGGCTTTTATTTCCTCCAGTTGGGGTTGCTGTGGTAAGCTTTTGAACTCGTTTTCAGACATAACGGTAATGTCTGCTCCAGTATCAATTTAAAAACACACATCAGTGCCGTTCAGTTGCAGCTTAACTTGCCATTCATCTTTGACATCAACATCATCTGAGATGTGACCCAAAAACCAGGAATCTTGACTGCTGTTTGCCTCTTGGGTGACAGTAACCTCTTTCACTTTTTTTGTTTTGCACACTGCTTCAAAATGGCCAGTCTTATTGCATTTACGGCACTTTTTTCCCAAAGCAGGACATGCTCCAGACTCATGCAGACGTGCACACCTTGAACAGCTCCTCCCCGTGCTGCCTTCACTTCGTTTTGCGTGTTGTTTTGTTTTGCCACTCACATGCCCTTTGAACGGCTTACGTTGCTTGTTGTTGCGGCCCACTTCGTCAACGCACTGTGCTCGCATGCCGGCGTTTTGCATTTTAATGAGCTCTGCTTGGCGTGCCACCTGTATAGCCCTATCCAGAGTCAGCTCCGGCTCTAGCTGCAGCTTCTCCGACACATCGCTATCAGCCACCCCAATCACAATACGATCACGTATCCGCTCATCTTTGGTTGGCCCAAATTCACAGTGCTCCGCCATTTCATACAAGCTCCTTACAAAAGCCTCAACACTCTTTCCACTCCGCTGCACTCGCTTGTGAAAGCATGCCCACTGGTGTATAATATAGCGCCATGGCACAAAGTGGTCGTTAAACTTCCTCACCACAGCATCATAATAGTTAGCCTCTTCATCAGCCGTAAACATAAATGTGCTAAAAATAGGCTCAGCTTCTTTGCCCATTGCATAGAGGAGTGAATTGACTTGTACATCACTGTCTTCTCGATTGAGCTTTGTTGCAATCCGAAAGCGGGAGAAGCGCTGTCTCCAAATCGGCCATGAAGCCGGCTGGGTGAAGTCAAATGCTTCAGGTGCGTGAAACTTTGACATGGCACTCTGTTCCTTCCTTTCCCCTGTTATGTCGAGGCATGCAAAGTCGCCACTTCTGACACCATGTAATGATGCGCTGTGAGTCAATGTCGTCTTGGTTTCACTTTTATTCAAGTCACGCCGTTTGCAGAGGCACTAACTTAGCTCAACACTCTAGCTTCACTCTCCATTTGTTTACTTCCTGACGTCATCTGGCCTATCCAATAAGAATGCACATAATGCGTATGCCTGACAGAAAGCTAGTTTTCACTCAAACCTTAACATTGCATGACAATATCTCAATCAACTCATTATGCATTTATTCAGTCATTCAGTATAGAATGAGTACACCTCTCTCTACTCTTTACACTCTCAAAAATGATTGTGTGTTGAATTACATGATAATTAGCAACTCACTCTTTTGTGTTCTCACTATTTTCATGCATTTTGTGTGAAACGCACATATTTGTGTATTTTATGCATTCAAAATCAGAACACATTTCCTGTACTAAAGGACAATTCCACCAAAATCCACCAGATTCAGACTCAGATTTTCACACTGGTGGTCACAATGTCTATAACACCATTTTATTTACTATTCAAAACCACCAGTGAACCTGCACACTACACAGTCTACACAGGCTTCTTCATTTTAATAGTTTGTAATGGTTATTATAGCAAAATAGAAGTCAATCTGAAAACAATACATTTTCTTTGGGTATTATTTCATCATACAGTGATCTGCATGTACCTCTCCACTATGAATGAATTTCAAAAATACTTCTCAGTCCAAAACAGTCCAAAAATTCTGACTCTGTAAGTTTCTCGAGAACGGAGCATTTCACACCAAACCACTCTTAATGATTTAATAATGCAGAAATTTTGAAAAATAGGTGGATTTCTCTTTTAAATAATGCTGTTCTATGGACTGAGTTTTGAAAGTGTATGCAACATGAACAGTCAGCCTTTTTGGTTATTGTAAGATTGTAGGCAAGATTCTAGGATCATAATTGTGCATCAATTTCACAGGCAAAAGCAAAAAACACCTTTGATTCAACTATCATAGTACTTATGCAAGGCATTTATGCTACAAACTCTAGAAAGACTGCTGAAGGCTGGACAAGGGGCCATTTTGATATTTCAGTCATTAGGATAATAGATAACTGGAGGTTATTTTACGCATAGATACACAATTTTCAATCACCTGCTTTTGCTTTACCTTTTATCCCCCGAGGGATCAAAAGCTCAGCGGTGCTAGCATACTGTGGATTTACAGTTACGAGAGAGGAAGTTGCACCAGACTAGCTCTTCATTTGATTTTATTCAGTTGAGATCAATAAAGAAGGACAAACAGAGAGTGATCTGGGGACAAAACTGTATGACTGGATATTTATTCACTTCTCTTACTGGTTTTAAGCTTGTCTTGCTCTCTTTTTTAGCCTAGCAAGATAACTCTGCTTTTGTTCCACACCTTAACTCACTCTTAAAGAGCTTTTAAACTGCTGTATGCATTACGTTTACGGCATTTGGCAGACACTCATATTCAGAGCAACTTTACAGTTTGATCATTTTGCACAGGTAGGCGAAGGTAGTGTTGGGAGTCTTGCCCAAGGACTTATGTTGGTATAGTGTAGGGTGCTTGCCCAGGTAGGGGATTGAACCCCAGTCTGTAGGAGGCAGAGGTGTTACCCGCTACACTATACCAGCCACTGATGCATCAACCATGAATGCATAAGAACACTTTGCCTGGTTGCCAAACATACACAGGTCATAATAGTGCTCTAAATAGAGAGTCTAGTTTCATATGTTGTTCACATGATCACAAATCTTGATAAACTACACATTTATTGCTAAACAACCTGTGAACCCTAATCTGACCACAACTACATGTAAGAAGCACAAACAGGCGAGAGAAGAAGACACAACTAGAAAATTACAGCGTGTACACTAGCCAATCACAGCGCAGAGGAGCGGCAACACTAGCCAATCACAGCGCAGGAAGGTGTGGTCATGGTGAGACAGGCCAGAGGCAAACAAGAGTTTAAAATATCATGGCATTTAAAAGCTGCTGCTGCAGTGCTGCTGCTCTGAGCTTCAAGATGACTCGCTGTCACCCTCTGATTTTCACTTTATGGACACTTTTCCTCTCTGGATTCACTCAAGGTAAGTTTGGCAAGTTGGGCTTTGTTCAGGTTGTCTAATGGAAGGTTGGCACTGCTGGCACAGTAGAGACTGTAGACTGGCACGCAGAATACAAACACAAGCAGCATCATTATATTTTCAATAAGATGTTATAACAAGCGCTGATATTTTATTCAGTAATAACATATATCAACAAGAAAAGTATCAGTCTGTATCAGTATTTTTGTACAGGGGCGTTGGCTTGTTGGCATGTGAAGATCCAGAGCTCAGCCCAGCTCGCTGTAGAATTGTTTTCGAATATTATATGAACCTGTAAAATGTGCAGTTGCTACTTTTTTAATACATGAGAAATTACACATCAGCAAAACAGTGGCAATATTTACTGTGTCTTATAAACAAAATCATTAAAACAAATCAAACAAATTAAGAGACCACCGTAACAGAAAGTGAAACAATGTGGAGACAATGCCATTTAGAAACCCACTTGCGCAGTTTTCACAAAGATTCTGATATTCATCAGTATTTTCTTATTTGGGATTTGTTCTTTGGTAAGAACAGAATCTACACACACTCAAGAGCACAAAGGTGTGTACAATTCTGTGGTAAAATTCTATTCTATTAACTTATTATTACATGTCCACTGAACTTAAACAGTTGGTTTAATTCCCTTATATTATTTATGGTAAGTTAAAATGATCACAGTGGAGTAGATTTGGTTTTTTTTACAGAGATTTCAGGCACTTAGGCATTTTGTCCCTGGACACTTCCTCTCTCGCATGCACTCTCACTTGCGCTCTCTCACTCATGTGCACAGTTTTTGAGTCAGAGGAGTCGGTGAATACACCCCTGAACAGACCATGGATACTGAGACTTGTGTGTAAATGAGCTGAAATGAAATGTGTGATGTGTTATAATGATAAGATTCAGGGCTCATAAAATACACTGGGGGCTGCAGCTCCAAAAGCCCAGGCCAGGCGATGCCCCTTGCTGGGTAGAAGGCCTTCCAATAGAGACACAAAGACTCCTTTGTTATATTTGCTTATATTTATGTCTGTCAGTGTCTTGAAACTGCCCCCCTCCCACCTAAACCAATTAAGGTGGAAGATAATGGCACTGGATCAGACTTTGCTGACTTCTTGGAAACCACATGTCCTGTAACCCGCCATGAACCAATGAGTCATAAAAGTTCTTGTTTTTCTTTGAAAAGTATTTATTTAGTGGAAAAACTTAAAAAGTCTGATGCTGAAATCAGATACACACACTGTGTCTGTTATGTGTGCTCATTTGATCCAGCTGCCAGCACCTTATTAGTTGAGCCAAGAATCTTTATGGAGGGCCTGATTTTTACCACTATAATCTTTGTTGTGCTCTGCTCTGCTTTGGTTCATCTAAACGTCTCTAAAATAAGACACACATGATTTCACTGAATTAGTTACAAACTCTGTAGCATTCTAATCAGACAGGAAATACTGCACATTTATGACCACTGGCTGTTGTGAAAGACTCAATGAGCAGAAAAGCATAGGATAGACGTGAGCAATATATTGTCTTATACTAATATACTTGTATTAGTGTCACACAAAAATATTTATATTTAGCTTCAATGTTATTGATAGACAATTAAAACTTATGTGCATTGTTTGTTATTTGCTGTTTTGAAAGAGTTCAAAATACCTTCTGTGTGGTCAAACTTTACAGTACTGGGCAAGTTTTCCTTTGGAGTAGCTTAAGAGAAGCAGAAGCCTCACTGAGAAAAGGACATAGACAGAGAAGTGGGACATCAAATCAGTGCAAATCAATCAAAGAAGCTGCTGGTGTTCTCTAAACGATGGACTGACCACCCCAGAGTCCAGACCTCAACATCACTGAATGTGTTTGGGATTATTCGGATCATTTGAATAGTCTCCAGCTGTACAGCACCAAGATAGAGCTAAATCGTAGGGGTTTCTAACAAAGTGGACGATAAGCGTAAATTTCATGTTTATTTAGTCACTTAGCGAGAGTTCTATATTAATAACTCAGCGATACTTATGAGACGCTGTAGCTATTTCCCTAATCAACGCTCAGTGCAGAATGTACCAGCACGAACAAGCACTCTGTTGTTAGTTGTAGATGCTTGGGCTCAGAATAGCTTTGTACCCTTTACTTGAGGTTGGAGCCATTTTTGATTGCGACGGTCACTTTAGGTTTTGAGTCTGCATTCATTTTCCTTGTTTCGTCTTAATATATGCAAATAAGTTTGAATTAGTGACTACAAAATAGTAGTCAATCTGAAATTATGCGTTTTCTTTGGGCCTTATTTCATCATACAGTGATCTGCATGTGCCTCTCCACTATGAATGAATTTCAAAAATACTTCTCAGTCCAAAACCTGACTCAGGCATCATAGAACATCTTTGAGGTGGCTTTTAGAGCATTAAATTCTTTGGTTCCTGTCACCACCACTGTGAAGTTTGAAGATTTATTCAACACATTTCACATATGACGCATTCTGAATATTAATTTCATTATTACAGCTGATACCTAAAGTAGTACCACCATAATAGAATGATTTTAGACTTGTACTTGCATCAACGCTGGTTTTTGATTCCATGTCCCACAGATATGACATGTACCTGACAATATATAATTGTACACTGTATAATAATAATAATAATAATAATAATAATAATAACCACAATGTATGTGTGTAATTTATATGTTGGCATGGTTTTATATTTATATTGTTTTCTTTTTTTTCCATTATAGGTACAGTCATACGCAAATTGCAAATTTTTTATTAACTTTCTAAGTGAAAAGGCACAATTACTATTTATTATCTATTATTTGCTGAGTTTGATATATTGGAGGGAAAAAATATGAAATATTAATTTCCCGATATGTACAATTCAGCAAATAAACAGGAATTGTGCAATAAAATCTGCATCTGAAAGTAACAACCTATGGAATCTAAACATTTCCATCAGACCACATTCATTTTCCACTGTTCAGCACCAGATCCTGAACACTCAGTCATGAGATCAAAAAATGAAGCAAGCTGGTTTAAACCGAGTGTCAGAATAAGTCTTTCTTTTCTACCTGTAGATAAAAATCTAAAGATTCAAGCAGAGCTGCCCAAAATGTGGCGCACAGGCCAAAGCTGACCTGTGGGGATGTTTGATTTGGTCTGTCAGAAAGTTCCCCTAACCGCACCCCATCAAGAGAGAATAAACACATTTTTATACTGTATATAACTTACTGGATTCTTATTTTCTTTTCACAATTGTATTTTTAAAGTGTTTTAGTCACAATTCATGGTATAATGTTTTAAAGTACATTTTCAAAGCTCGATCTGAAGTCAGTCTGCACTGTTAGAAATAAAGGTTCTGTGCAGGTACATTTTTCATTCATCAAGGTACAAACAATGTAAGTGTTCCCTCAAAAGTAAAACAGTGGTTTTAAGGTCTAATTGTGTACCTTAAAGATTTTTTTATCCAAATGGAAAAGTACATATTTGCACCTTTTCATAACCTAAAACAGCCTGGAGACGAGGCTGTGTGGAGTCAATACAACTTAAAAAATATATTTTCAAAGCATTATGGTACAATTATGCTCCCTGACTAAAGGAACTGAGATGCATCCTTGAGGGGACCACCCCGGTGACAAGAGGGTTACTGCCCCAGTGACAGTTCAGTACCTTTTTCTGAGAGTGTACCTGCTTTATTTGTGTTTTGTTTTGTCTTTTTGACCCAATACAGACACGGCACTTTGGTCCCCTAGGATTAAATGTCTGGGAACCCCTGTTTTAGACCAGCAAAAGAGATCTCTGTGAAGCTGATGAAGAGGTTTTAAATTTTTCTTTTTGTGTTATGAAGAATAAAATAATGTTCTTATTTCCTTTAAGAATCCATGAACACATCATTGCTCTTTTTCTGGCTGTTGTCTTCCTTTAATTGGCCTGTGCATCGGCATCTGTGGACTGGGGCACTGACTGAGCATGTAAAGATTCAGAGCTCAGATGTAAAATGTGCAGCTGCTACTTTTTTATTATATGAGAATTTTCACATCTGCAATGTTTATTATGTCTTACAAACCAAATCTTTAAAAAATAAATAAATAAATAAATAAATAAAAACCGTGACAGAAAGTGAAACAATGTGGAGATAATCCAATTATGAAGGTCCTCTCCACACCCTCTCTGTCACTCTCTCTCTCTCTCCACATCAACCATCTCTTCTACATGGCTCCTCTGTAATGTCCTGCTAACAGAGGAGCCTTTTATCTACAGTGGAACTGAATAGTCATTCAGTAAAATTCTTCTTGCCTAAAGCCAAACAAGAAACTATTACAAATATTTCACAAAGCATTCCACCTATGTAATGTTGTGTCCTGATATTGATAGTTAGACAGGCTGACAAGTAAACAGGGGCTAAACATGTTTCTCACATGCAGCATCAGGCTTGGGTCAGGCTGGTTTTGAGAGATTGCGTGATTTTTTTTTTTTTTTAATAAAAACTAATTTGGAGTTTTAACTTAGAAAGGTAAGCAAATAATGAGTTAAAAGAATGTTTACATATTGTTCTGTTAACAGCCAGTTTACAATAAGTTAAAATAATGGTTTTGCAGTGGAGCAGATTAATCCCCCAAGATAAATTGTTTGTAAGCAGCTATTTTACATGAAAGCTCACGAAGAGGTTAAAAATGTAAAAACATTTTTCCTTTTGGCTTTTGAGGAATCACATTAATGGGCCTTATTCACCCACCATCCTGAAGAAGAAATTTCTTCTTATAACACACTTACAAAGTTTTTACCAAAATTCTAACATTCACCTGTGTTTTCTTATCTGGATTTCTTTCTTAGATAAGAACAGAATCTACACACACTCAAGAGCACAAAGGTGAGAACAGTTCTGCAGTTTCTGCATGTCATGAATCTTTTCTCAGGATCTTTCTCAAGCTTTCTCAAACTTAATCCTTGTGTGCTGTTCAGGTTTACCGAAAGAAAAAATTATGTGATTTATCATTATTTCAACCCCAGATTTCTTGGCCTTTGCTCATTTTCTGTGAAGAACATATAAAATAACACATTTTCAGTGTCTTCACTCTGTTACACCCTACACATTTATATTACACATGTGGTGTTTAGGTAAACCTGCAGGGAATAAAAGTGTGGAGGTGCTGCGTCCTTCACTCTGTTCTCCTCCTACATGGCCTGCTGTTAGTGTGTGTGTTTGTGTGTGTGTGTGTTTGTATGTGTGTGTTTGTGTGTGTGTGTGTGTGTGTGTGTGTGTGTGTGTGTGTGAGGGTAGACAACATGGACAGGCTGCTGACTGGCTATAGCTGCTAAAGGACAACCCTACGCTGGCCACTTGTAATATTTTAAACATCTGGTATTTTACATAAATTGTTTTGGCTGTATTGATTTAAGAAAACAATAATGCGGTGGGTCCACCAGACCACTGAGTAACAAACATATCAACACCACATAAGGGTTAAGAAAAAAACTTATTGGTGAATGAGGCCCAGTGTTACTTCCTTCAAGAGTCTATGAATTTGCCTCTGTATCAGTATCTGTGTACAGGGGCGTTGGCTTGTTGGCATGTGAAGATCCAGAGCTCAGCCCAGCTCACTGTAGAATTGTTTTCGAATATTATATGAACACAGTGAGACAGTGCCATTTAGAAAGTCCTCTCCACACCCCACCCCACCCCTTCGCACTCTCACTCTCTCTCTCTCTCTCTCTCTCTCTCTCTCTCTCTCTCTCTCTTGCTCTCCACATCAACTATCTCTTCTACTTAGCAGGACATTACTGAGAAGACTTTTGTCTACAGTGGAGCTGAATGGTCATGCAGTAAAACTCTTCTTGCCTAACACCATACAAGAAACTATTGTAATGTCTAAAACAAAGCATTGCCTCTGTGTAACGCTGGGTCCTGATAAACGTTAAAGGTCTGCAGCCCAACATTGAACTCAGGTCAGGCTGGTTTCCAAATGTGTGATTTTTTTATAAAAATTAATTTATAGTTTTAACTTAGAAAGGTAAGTAACCTGGCTGCCTTAAATGTTTCATTTTATTGTACTTCAAATAATGAGTTAAAAGAATGAAGCACACAATAGACCTCATTCACCAACCGTTCTTACGAAGAAATTTCTTCCTAAAACCCACTTACACAGTTTTCACAAAGATTCTGATATTCATCATTGTTTTCTTATATGAGATTTGTTCTCAGGTAAAAACAGAATCTATTCACACTAAAGAGCACACAGATGTGAACAGCTCTTTGGTGAAATATTGGTGAATGAGGCCCAATATTCTATTAACCTATTATTACATGTTCAGTGATGTTTTAAAACAGTTGGTTTCATTCCATTATATTATTTACAGTAAGTTAAAATGATCACAGTGGAGTAGATTTGCAGCAGATTTGAGATTTCAGGCACTTAGGCGTTTTGTCCCTGGACACTTTCTCTTTCGCGTGTACACTCACTCTTGTGTGCACAATCTCTTTCCTGCTCTCTGAGTCAGAGGAGTTGGCGAATACACCCCTGACTAGATCACGGATAATGAGACTCATGTGTAAATGAGCTAAGAAGAAACATGTGAGGCTAATAAAATACACTGGGGGCTGCAGCTCCAGAGGCCCAGGCCAGGCGATGCCCCTCGCTGGGTTGAAAGCATTCCAGTAGAGACACAAAGACTCCTTATGTTATTTATATTTATGTTATATTATTTATAACTGTGTCTGTTACGTGTGCTCATTTGATCCAGCTGCCAGCACCTTATTCGTTGAGCCAACAATCTTTATGGAGGGCCTGATATTTATCACTATAATCTTTGTTGTGCTCTGCTCTGCTTTGGTTCATCTAAACATCTCTAAAATAAGACACACATGATTTCACTGAATTAGTTACAAACTCTGTAGCATTCTAATCAGACAGAAAATACTGCTCATTTATGACCACTGGCTGTTGTGAAAGACTCAATTAGCAGAAAAGCATAGGATAGACGTGAGCAATATATTGTCTTATACTAACAGACTTGTATTAGTGTCACACAAAAATATTGATATTTAGTTTCAATGTTATTGATAGACAATTAAAACTTATGTGCATTGTTTGTTATTTGCTGTTTTGAAAGAGTTCAAAATACCTTACGTGTGGTCAATCTTCACATTACTGTGCAAGTTTTCCTTTGATGTAGTTTTAAGAGAAACAGAACTAAACAATCCAGTCAAAACAAGCTACAGACATGTGGAAAATGTGGGCACCCCTGGTCAAATCATGTTTTGTTGAGAAAACAAATTAACACATCCTCTACAGAGAACACGTCTGCACATTTTATGCACAATTACAGCTTGCTTAACTCAATTGAACATACTGGGAAAAAAACTGCAGCCTGTGCGAAAGTTGTGGCATATTTTAGATTTTATGCCTACTACTAAACCGAAACCTACTAAATACACCTGATTCAGCTCATCAGTTAATATAATGCAATCATCATTCAGTCTTCAAGAGCTTCCAGGACTGATGTCCCTGCTGTCTTCTCTCTTCATATTAAGACATCTGGATGAATTACAGCTACACAGACTACACTGGAATGAACAAAGTTAGACAATGTGGTTTTAATTCGTTTATTGTTCTGATATTAATTTGTTTTATGTCTGAGAGAATGTATCTCTGGATTATTGCTTTGCCTGGAAAATATGCACACCACTCGTTACACAAGCCATTATGGTTTTCCACGACAGCCTGGAACAAACAGGATGTGAAGATTCTCTATTGAAAAGAAAATGTAGTCCAGAACTAGTCTTAGTCTGGGAAACTGACTCTACGTAGCATTACAGCAGTGATATGCTAGGCTTGATTGCTGTGTTTGGAAATACTGTATCAGCTCTAGAAGTGGAGTTTAGTGTTTCTGTGTGGCTGCCAAAGGGCCCTATCCTACATTGTTCTTGCATGCATTTTCCCTCTGAGGTCAGCTTAACATTTTTGTGGTTTTTATGAACTAAACATAGCTGGTACCACCCAACATTTTTCTGAGAGTGTTGTGGGATCAGTAACATGTCGCAGTACATTACTAACCTGGTGACAAAGGAATAAAGCCATGAAAAACAGACAATTAGAGTGTTTGAAGCCATTTTTTAAACTAACCATGACAGAAACACACATAGTATGATTCCTAATACCACTCTGGGAGAATCAAACTTCGGATGGCACCCAAACAACCAACCATGCTCGCCTAACTACACTACACTTCCCCGCCTAATAACCAAAAGTACAGTGCCCAACCTCTGACCAAGGGAGCAAGACAGTAGACTCCTATGTAGTGCAAATGTATAGGCACCCCTCTATCCTGTTTGAAACCAAAGGTGGTACAAATAAACCAAGCAGCTCCTGTAAGCCAAAGTTGGGGAGTGTGCTGGCATTGTTTCCCAGACATAAGGTACTCGCCTAACACTAGAGTCTGTTGTTGTATACAGAGTTAAGGAATGTGCTGATAAAACATTGAACATAAGCACAACCCCAACACAAGAGCTGCTGTCTCTTGTAAAACAAAGTTAAAATGTAAAGGTAAAACACCAAAGGCTAAAAACACTCCGAATGCAAGAGACGCATTCTCCTGTAAACTTAGTTAGAATATGCTGGTAACATACCTAAACTAAAGCAGTTTAACTTTAACTTGATTAAAAATAAACTAGACCATAGCACCCATGTGAAAACAGTCCTCTCTCCCCTATCCAGCTTGAATGTAGCTTTTAAGCATTGGGCTCCTTCCCCATTTACACCAGCCCAGATTCTGATTGGTCAGAGGACCTCCACATGACTGATAAGAAAGGCAGATACACCTGTGTAGACAGAGAGAGAGAGTGAGTGAGTGAGAGAGAGAGAGAGAGAGAGAGAGAGAGAGAAACACATGCTTACATGTAACATCAGATATAATATATGTATGTAATTACAATTTTCTTACCTCCCTTTATCTCATGGATTTAAGCAGACTGTTTTTGTGACTTCAAGACTGATATATGTAAATGAGCTCTGTTCTGATTGGTTGTCTTTTACTGTGTCTCATCACTCAGTTCAGACTGAAACACTCCTTATAACTTCCGCGTGAATGAATGGGGCTAAACTGTGGTACACCTAATAGTTGTGTATGTTGCTGCTGTTGGAAGAAAACCTTGTATCTCCATTTTTTGTCGTTTTTCAGTTTTTGACATAGTTTGAAAATGCCTGTTGCTCTTTACATTGTACGTAAATTTCATGAAGAATAGACCAAAAGAAATGGACCCAAAATGACTTGGAAAAAAGTCTGGTTCCATTGACTTACATTAAAAGTAAAGTAGGTTTTTTTCCTTTTCGTGTAAAGTTAAAGATACAAGGTTTTCTTCCAACAACAGTGATATGCAAATGTTGGTAAACGGTTCATTCAAAACAGGCTACTTTTAAGTCTTAATTTTAATATATGGCCTGTATGGACTGGGGAGTGAACTCTACATTATGAAGCAACGTTTACGTACTAGGACAAACTGTTCTATAACAAAGAAAATGTGCTCATATGTGGTCTTTAAACGACCAGCTCATTGTTCTGTGTTAAATGGACATTGTTTAGGTTTACATTAAGTGGCTAGTTGTTATCTTTATGATGCACGGTTCTCATTTGCTTGGTTGTGGTGTTGGGTGGTTGTTTCCTATTATGTTTGTGGGTTTTTTGTTCACATTTTGTTTTTTGAGTTTCTGTGTGGTTTGTTTGCAGTGCTACTTCCCCTAAGCGTAAGCCTACTTGCTGAGAAGACCTACTCTGCTCATCATGACCCCACAATTATCACTAAACATTTGTTGTATTCCTTACAGCTCATCCTCAAGTGATCCATGTGAGGCCTGTTGAGAATCCCACCTACGCTGAGGAATACCAGTGTGTAACAGAATGCAACCCTGAACACACAAAGTACAGCTGGAGCAGGTAAATGAGTGTAACCTTCCTCACATTTATGCATTTTATTTATTAGAAAATGTAGCCAAATAATCAGCATGTTCTGACCAACTTGACCAGCTGGGTGCTTTGTGCCTGTTAAGGGAATAGTTTGAATTGTCCACTAACCCCAGATGTAGCTGATCAGCCAGGAAATGTTTGCTGTCTACATTTTGCTTCAACTGCTAGGCTAACATTGCTAAAAATGGAAGTCCCGAAATTGAAATACATATATATATATATATATATATATATATATATATATATATATATATGTGTGTGTGTGTGTGTTTTTGTGTGTGTAGTTTGTATGTATGTATTACAATAACAATGTGTGTATATATCACATATGCATCTTATCTGACAGGCCTCTTGCTTTACTCTAGGCAGGGCTGGGATACTTTTCCTGAAGATGTGAAAGCAGAAGGAGACCGACTACACTTCCTGAAGTTGACCTCTGACCTCAATGGTCTCTACGTCTGTGAGGTAGAAAACCAGTTTGGAGCTGCAGCAGGTTCACTATATCGATATAAGAGACACACAAACGAACTTTAATGAAGGTGAGTCAGAAATAGGCACTGCCAGGAGGCATTTCAACTACAATGCAAATAGTCAGGGATCTCTGCATGAATGAATCAGGCACTCTTTAAGAAACAGAGGTCTGGATTGAGTAGGAGCTTGAATGAGAAAATGGTTAATGATGAAAGGCTCATCTGATCATGATTTTTTGATCTTGAATAGTTTCGATTTCTTCTTCTGTAGGTTGGTCCTTTTATATGCCCACAGATGGCTGGGCGGTTTGGTGCTATAATGACAGAGGGGTTTTTTGTTTATACTGAACCAGCATCTCTTTTATTTTTGCAGGATATGATGAACAACAAGACACCCAGGAAGGAAAACAGAGCTTCTTTTACAGTCGCTCACGGTGATTAAGATCACTCACTTACGAAAAGTCTGAACTATTTAATACAGTCCCAGCCATTTCCTATTTACTGAGTGTAAAGATCAGTTGACCATTGTATAAACATTTGGCATTCATGTTTGTTTTGAATTGCCAGTCAGTCTACAGTCGACAGTCATATGCAAGTTTAGGCGCCCTTGGTCAAACAACATGTTTTCTTGATTTTCTAAGTGAAAATAAGCTAATAAGTTAACTCACCCTCCACAGAGAACACACTTCTGCACATTTTCATGCACAATATTGTTTATTTACTGCGCAACAGTTTGGCACATTTTGTATTTCATATTTATTTTATAGATGTAATCAGAGCAGCAGAGAAAGCCTACTTAATGGAGGAAGTGCAGAAATTTCCAGCATTTGTTCCACTTATGGCATGAGAGCTTACAGGATGCTACTCCTCCCCGCACTGCCGATATGATCCCGTTAGCCTTCATTCATTCCTGTTATCAGCATTAAGGATTACTTTAACTCAGACAGCCTGCTAAGACAGGATGCTGCCAAGCTGTCAGGCTGCTGATCACACCCTTGCATTTCTTGTAGGTCAGAGCCGCTGTGGTCTCTGTCTGAACCACAGAAGGTGTTGCACAGAATTATAAACACTGAAACAACAGGACATTTGATCTTCATAACGGAACGTTGTTGAAGCAGCCTCAGAAATTGAACACAGTCAGTTAGGGTTAGGGTTAGGGTTAGATTAAAATCAATTCTGCTAAGCTTTAGATTAACTGTCAGGTTTTTCCAATAAGAAGTCCCACTGTAAAATAAAAGTGTCATAGTACTAAAATTAAGTGTTATAATAAACATCTAGCTATGTTTAAAGGCAGAAAAACATTAGAACAGGGCTTAAAAATCACTGTTCAGACCTAAGAACTGACGTGATATCAAACACCCCTTCATCCCTAGCACATTCGCCAAATGTACTACCTTGACAACCACAAAAGAAAATATATATATATATATATATATATATATATACACACACAGAAATAAGCTAAATTATCTTATAATATTATAACAGTCTCAAAATGAGAAATATCAACTAGTTTTAAGACAATTTCACTTGCTACAATATCATTTTTGCAGTGTAGATGGTTGCAACATTCAGAGCTTTAACTAATTTTGAAATGAGTATCCAGGGGTCCCAAATTTTGTTGTCTGCTCAGAGCCCCAGAATCACTATGTCTGCCCTGATCATGAAGATGCTTGAGAGAATGATCGTGCAAAACCGCATCAAGTCAAAAAGGAGCACATTTCTAAAAGAATCTAAAGAGATTCTTGTGGATTCTTTAAATAGATCATTTTTAACAGTATTTTTTGCTCTCTGCATAATTCCATAAGTGTAATTTCATAGTGTTGATGTCTTCACTGATATACTCAAATGTGGAGAGCAGTAAAAGCCTTCTATGAGTAGATGTGTCCAAACTTTTCACTGGTATTGCATGAATTTCTGGCACAAAAATACATTGTAACACCATCTAATGCCGGCCTTACACCAAACCACTTTTCAAGTGATTTCACTATCGCAGACAAATTTCCAATGTCAGATTAAAATCATGAGAGTCTTGCCGGAGTTGGTGGTCAGGATCGCGGTCTTAGGTCAGTCTTTTACTAGGCTTGACGCTACGACAAAATCAACCGTGTTTATTATTATCTTAAGTTTTAAGTCTTGGCTAATTCAAATAGTGACGTGCTAGAGGTGATAGACAGAGTGTGAGAGAGAGAGAGAGAGAGAGAGAGAGAGAGAGAGAGAGAGAGAGAGAGAGCAAAGGAGGACATGAATACACAAGAGCCTGAAATCTCTGTAAAAAAAGGTAAATCTAGTCCACTTTAAAACAATAATCATTAACTTAAAAATGTAAATGGGCTGTTTTCATATTTCTAGTTCACTGAGCCTGTAAAAGTAACATAAGGAATTAAGAATGGTGTTATTAAAAAGCATCAATGACCCCCCTCTTTTTTTGCTTTCTTATTTTGGTTGTTTGTTTTTAAATGGTTTAGTTCATAAGACCCAGTCAACAATGTTGAATTGCTGCATGTTTTGTTGATGTTTAAATCTTTACATTAAATAAAAAAAGTAACTCCACATTTTACAGGTGAATTAAAAAATTCTGGGTGATGATCTGCCAGAATATACAACTCTACAGTGAACTGGCCTCAGACCTTTACATGCTCAGCCAGCGTATCTTCCCATTTGTACCACTATAGAGTGGAGAAGGAAAAGGGTTTCTCTGCTTGTGAATTCCCTCCAGGTGCATGATGGGAAATGATCTCAAAAATCTAGTCGCAGTCTTGCAAATAGTGAAACTGCAAGATCCCCTGTCTTTGCAAAATCATAGTGACTAAAACTCTGACACTGTCTTTAGATGTGAAAGAGTGACGGACTTTAGTCTTTTGAAAGTCTTTCCAAACTCCTCTAATGTATGGTCAGCATGAATCGTTCTGAAAGCCTCAAGGGCTCAAATCCTTTGAAACTAAAGACTTCTCACAAGTCAAAGGACAAAAATCTAAAATAAGAGTTTGATGTATGTAAACATTGAAGTTTCACAGCATATCATTCACTCCCCAATCCAGTCAATATACTGAAATTTAACAGCCAAAATGGCCCATTTTGAATTCCATACTTTTGTGATGTCACTAAAACCAACATGTTTACAGCTGCCTATAGTAGCCAACAGCAGTTAAGCCCCACCCACTAGTGTTGAAGTTATAAGGAATCTTTCAGCCCAGACTGATTTTTGAATGAGGAACAAATCAGAGCAGCCAATCAGAACAGAGCTCATTTACATACATCGGTCTTAAACACACAGTGACAAAAACAGCCTGTTTAAGTCAAAGAAAGGTTTGAAAATGGTTGTTTAAAAATGGATCATGACTGATTTGTACAAACTGCACAAACATCATGAATGAAAATACCATAAAAATGTAGAACACGGCCGCTTTAAACCTGCCCTCCTTCAAAACATGCAGGGAAAAGCACACAGGCTGCTGTGGTGTTTGATCACTGTTCATTTTTTAGATGCTTTATTCACCTTTATTTTCACACAGAATAAAGCATTCTGATGGAGGAAAACAGATACAAGTGTTTTTAATCTCTGTCCTCTGAGCACTCGCGTCTTCACCTGTGCTTGATTTGTGGATCAATTCAGTCGTGTTTGTTTAAGAATTTTATTTTTATAAAATTGTTTGCAGAGTTTGGGCACCAGGAGCCACCCAAACACAGCTACAGTGAGGAAAGACTGTCTGGGAAAAAATATGTGAAACCAAAAAGGAGAAGCTGCCCTGACCATGTTGGTATTTCTCAGGTGATCTTGACATCAGGACACGTGGTGTGACAAATGCATTCCTGTGAAGCTGTACTGAAGTGGACTGTAATGGTCTTTATACTGGTGAATGCTGTGCTTGCAGTTTGATTCTTGTTGATTGTGTGAACTCTCTTTGTGTGAGATGTTGTGAAATGGTTCATGTTATAGAGACGCTTACAGACTCAGATTTTACAGTGGTGGTGAAAGGAACCAGGAGCCCTGATGTCTACAGTACAAATATAGCCGTTTTTTTACTATCCAACCCACCAGTGAACCTACACTGGTCCTCTGAGGTTTTGTGTGTGATGTTGTAGGTGGTGAAACAGTGATAAATCTGAAAAAAAAAAAAAAATTAATTGCTTTGTCTTACAACGCCCCCTACCGTAAATGAATAAAAATACATCTTTAGGTCAAAAAGCTCAAATCTATCGTAAAACAATGTCTCATACATCAGGCAACATATTCGTATTCATATTTCATGTAAGCTTTCTGTGAGGGAGCTTTAGACGTATTAAACTCTTCAGACGTCTGGTTCCTAATACCACCACTGTGGACAATTCTGACTCTGTATGTTATAATTATAATATTATAAAATTATATTATTATTATTATTATTATTATTATTATTATTATTATTATTATTATTATTATTATTATTATTGTTGTTGTTATAAGCGGAGAGAAAACGATGTAATTCTCCTTCAAATAAACAACCGGAATGCGGCGGTTAAACAAGCTGGATGAACAGTTTTACCTGCGGCCTGTAGGCGGCGGTAGAGCACAGTGTGGTGACCCATTCATTCGGCGCAGAAGGAGCGCACGCCGTGTGTGGTTTTGTTGAAGATGGCCGAGTATTTGGCCTCTATTTTCGGGACAGAGAAAGACAAGTAAGTCTATCCTTTAAACGATCGTGCGTGTTATTTTCTCACCGGCGTGTCTTTAAAGCAGTAATATGCTGTGTCTTTGGCTTAAATGGGCTGTAGTTTAATCCCTTAGCTCGCCAGCTAAGCTTTCGAAGCTTCGCCAGCGTTTTGTATGAATTGTCCCGTTCCACCTTAAATTGAGCTACATACATTCTTCTGTCTGTGGCGCCAGAATGGAACTGCTGCAGCATTTAAGGTGGAACGGAGCAATTGGAACCAGAAGCTGACGAATAGGAAGCTAACGTAGCGCTGCAGGTTAGCGCCAACGCACGGCTCTCACTAACGTTAAACAACGAACCGGTTTAACGTTATACGACTGAAGAATTGAGAGACTGGTTTTGTTTTTGGAGATATAGTTCGAACAAAAGACGTATTAGTTTATATTAAGTGAGCTTATAAGCTAATAAACTCTATGAAACCGGCGGTCAGAAACCGGCCTAAGCTACAGCTTTAGCCTAGCACACCGGCTAGCTTACAGCGCTAGCTAGCTAACTTCGTTTTCTAACGTTTTAGTCGTTGTAAGTCGCAAAGTTGCGCTGCGAAACTATGTAAAGCAGTTTTATACGCGTGTTTGCAGGCTTCAGCTAAAATACTGGCATTTTATTGTGCTTTTTGACATTGCAGGTGAAACGTGTTGTGAGCTAGCTAGCGTATAGCCTTGACTAGTTTGGCTCAGTGAAGCAGACCGCGCATTTTATAAAGAAATGTTCTCATTATTGTTCTGATATTATTAAAATGAGTAATTAAATGATGCATCACTGCCAACATTCAGGTGTGTAAACTGCTGTGTATCCTGCTTCTCTCTCTGGATGAACTGAGGAATCAAACCTCAGTTAAAAGAGCCCAAACAGCTCTTTCTCTAACGAGGCTGAGGATTTCTTTTCCTGCATTTATTTCAGAAAACACCACGGACTTGAAGAGTAATTCCACCGATTTTTCAGACTTACTGAATAATTCTTTCGTTGAGATGTAAACAGAGTCACTCAGTGGTTTGGTGTGATATGGTTCATTGTAGAGAAACTTAGCCTCTGGTTTCTTTACTGTGGTGGTGATGGGAACCAGGGCACACGATGTCTGCAACATAAATACAGCCATTGTATTTACTATCCAAAGTCAGCGATGAACCTAAATGTGTCTTCTCATTTTTAAATGTAATGATGATGGTTATAAATCTGAAAAAATAAGTTATCTTTAGGGGCTGTTTTGTCTTAGTGTCCTGCATGTGCCCTTCAGTCATGAATGGATTAAAATACACTTTAAGCTAAAACTTCGTCACAAAACTTTCATAAAGAACATCTCAGACTTCAGGCAGCATACATCTAACCATTTCATGTAAAAGCTTTCTGTGAGGCAGCTTTCAGAGGCATTAAACTCCTCAGACGTCTGGTTCACTGATGACTGCAAGTTTCTTTAGAACAGAGAGTTTTACACCAAACCGCTTTGAATGACTTTGTTTACATCTCCACCATTTAATTGTGTAGTATTTTTGAAAAATCGGTTGAGTTTCCCTGTAAGTCCTATTGTGGGGGCGGTGTCAGCATATCAGAAATGATTTCCAAAGTTGTTTTCTCATCTCCGCTGGTCATTATATTGTCCTGTTTCTTGGTCCACAGAGTTAACTGCTCTTTCTACTTCAAAATTGGAGCGTGCCGCCATGGGGACCGGTGCTCCAGACTCCACAACAGGCCCACTTTCAGCCAGGTAAAAACCAGGTTTAGGCATTATTTTTTTAGAGAAAGTGAGATGAGTATGATTTAAACTCTGAGACAGAACCTACGGAAAAGAGAAACCAAGAGTACCATACGCAAATAAAATCTACATATGCAAAGTATACACAGTGAAGCAGAGTTGTTGGGTAATTTACCACAGCATGACTATGATGAACATTTACAAATGTATGAAAAACACCCATTCATGATTTCTGTGGTGCAATATACCCCAAACACTAAAAGAGAAGACCACACATTGAATTTCAGAAGTAAGATAGATTGTAAAAATTAATAAGAAAACATGTTTTTTCAAGACTATAGGAACATGAAAAAGGAGAGGTAATTTAAGGAATTATTTAAAATAAAGAAAAACAATTTTAACAGGTTTTCACATTCACACAAACACGCATTACCTCACAAGCAAAGGCTTAACTAAAACAAAAAAGTTAAATAAAATCAGCAGACTGAATCTCTGACACACACAGAGAGAGTGTGTGGTGGGGCTGAGGGAGAGAGAGTAAGTAGTGGGGGTGAGAGCACCCGCAGGTGTCTTCCCCATCTAATGCAGACTTAGTCAAAGCAGTTATACCTCTGTGCAAATTATGTTAGTTAGACCCTTAAAATATATAATTGCTGATTCATCTTGACAAATCAAAATTACTGTAATGCAGACTTGTGTCAGCTTAGAAACAAAACTGAACACAGTGTCGTTGGTGAGATTGTCATTAAGTTATAAAATGATGGAAGAGCCCAGTTCCAGCTCCTGAACCACAGTTTGCTACCATGTCTGGTAGGATAGATCGGAGATGGGTATAAACGAGTCTTTATCTGGTGTCACAGTGTCCTTCTCAAGGAACATAACACAGACCTCACACAGAGACATAAAATCCAAAAAACTACTATACTTACTTGTTATTCTTAAGAAAAATATTCTATAGTGTGTTGTAAAAGTGTAATGTACTTCGAAGTATAGGTGTGTATAACTGTTGTCCAGTACAGACATAACTGGGTTGAGACTTTGTGTTTTTGTTACAGACTATTGCCCTCTTGAATATATACCGGAACCCTCAAAACTCGGCCCAGTCTGCTGATGGAATAAGTGAGTGTCCATTCGCGTGTTTGTGTGTGTGTGTGTGTGTGTGCGTGCGTGTGTGTACAGATGGGTGACATTATAGGAGGAAAAAATGCAAACATCAGACCATTGTTGTAAAATTTTTTATTGTTATTGTTTAGTGATGGCAAAGCTGGCAGGATTGGTTGGAGCATTTTACTCTTTGGGGCTTTTGGTAGAGCACTTGATAATTGTATGAAATTAATATAGGATAGTTAATTTTAAGCAGCATATTTTGAAAGCATAAATCACCTTATCAAGGGGTAAGTATTAATATTAAGCTGGACCATACAATGGACAATAGACTTGAAGCTGAATTAACGTTAAAAACGCAGCTTACTATGCTATAGTAATGATAGGGGTGTGTTTAATTGTTAGAATACTGGTCTAAGTCTTTTGGATTCAGCCATCGGTGGTAGTGTTAGTAGTCAGCTAGGTTTGCTAATGTTAATGTTAGCGGTGCAGTCTTACGCTACTTGTTACATTGGAGTGGCAGAGCCTGTTGGCTGAAGATAGTGTACAACACTACCATCTAGCAGTCGAGTTTGAACACAATACAAAACCCACTGTCTGTGAATCTTGTAAACTACTAAATGAACATTGATACTGTGTTTTTGAGAATTGATACAATATCTCAAGGCATATTGCGATACTCAAGTGTATCAATTTTCTTATAGTACTACTGTTCACTTGCTGAATTAGGTTACCCACAAAGATAGCTAATGCTGTGTTTATCAGTGGGAAAATAACAAACGTTAATGAGTGGTTAAGCTATAGTATTTAACTTGTTTTGCCTAATTGAAGAAGCTGAAGTCTTTTAGTGTGAACAGGAATTGGGCTTTCCAGGCAAGTCACCAAATAGGGCTGGGCAATATGACAAATATCGTTATTGTGATGAATTGTTACAATACAATGTGCTTTTCTGAATATGTAGTGCATATCGTCAGTACTTGACCAAATGCATATCTTGTTATAAAAAGAGAAAAATTAGTCCCATTTAATTCATGTAATGCAACACAGTATGCCAACTATTGGATAAAAATCACTGTTTAAGGTTTTTGATAGTATTTTTAAAAATGAAGCACTGCTGGTTCTGCTTTCTCTGTTGAAACTGCTTAGATGTCTGAAAAAAATACATATTGTAACATTGTGTTTCATGAATTTCTTGAAGTATCGCAATATTATATTTTTGCCCTATCGCCCACCCCTATCAAAGATTTTTGCGTGGTGGGCTGCCACGAAGAAGTGTGAGCAGTGGAAACAGAAAAGTGCTTCTGTACAGCTGTAAAGTAGGTAAAGGTTGTTTCATATTTTTGTTGACCAGTTGAGCAGTCTTTGTGACTGAAGCTCCTCCTGTCTTTGCCCCTATAATGAACCATCTTTCAAAGTCACTTAGACATTTTCTTTTTGCCGTGTTTGTCCAAAATTAAGGTCATCTGGGCCAGTTTAGTGTTTTAATAAATCACACAGCATGGTAGGATAGTAATTGCTCTGTTGTGTCATTTGCCCTTATGTTTCTCTACTTAGTTTTTCAGAATTTTCATGAAATTTGTCACCCCTCTGTACATGTGCATGCACTGTACAACATGATGTAAAGTATTTGCTGGTTAAAATGTTGGAAAAAGTTTTGTGTATATCTTGCATCCTATGAGTATTTGAACAATACTTTTTTGTGACTGCTGCATTTTGAAATTTAAATTTTAAAAAGTAAGATTGAGATGCAGAATTTCTAGCCTTGTATACCTGGTTAATATCAAGCAAGCAGTGTAAGAAAATGAGCCCTACATTCACCTCCTGTTTTAAGGGACCATTTGTAATTGCACAATTTGCAGCTCATTTGTTTCTTGACTGGATGAGTCTTTGTATTGTTACATTTTGCACAAAAGAGCCAGCAAAAGCCCCATTTACACCTTACCTTAAAATGCGATTGCATCTTGATGTCTTCTCTGAATGGGGGGGGGCTCATGTTAAAGCAAAGTGTAAGTGTGTAGATGCAAGGTGAGATTGAATCAGTTATCATTCAGATAAATGTTCAGATGCAGATTAAATTTTAGATGTTATATTTGCGTGTAGAGTACATGAAGTACTTAAAATGTGAAGTTCTGGGAGAAAGTATAATAGATATGTTTGGTGACTTAATTCTGTTAGGTTAATATGTGGCTATTCAAGCTTATGTTTGTAAAATATGGTGACATGGAGCTGCATGACTGCCAGTGGATCATTTGTCTTTACTGATAATGTGACAAAAAACCCTGACAAAAAACTGAAACAGGTTTTTTGGGAGTAAAAAGTCAGTGACCCAGCCTGAACCCTATTGAACAGCATGTCACTTACAGAGCTCAAAATGCCTCAAAAATAGGGATGCACTATAGGAATCGGCAGATTTTTAGCTCTAAACAGTCAGCAGTTGGCTAATTTGTTTGGATTTTGGCTGATTTCTGTTGCAGGTTTAATATATAATGTGAGTCAGGTCAGTCATTAGCACTGTTCAAATGCTGCTGCATCAAAAGTTTGCAGTGTAATTATGCGTGATTGTGTGCTAAAAAATCAGTGTCGTCTTATTTTCGTTGTGTCAGTAGAACTTTGTGTTTTTTGTGTTATTTTAAATGGGCAACAGATTTATCATTTGATATACCAGTTTGGCCCAGTAAAGAGCATGTAATGTCAATAATGTGTGGCTTTGGCTAGTAGAACGTACTGGATGTGTGCCCACACATTGTGAGCTTTGGGTTAAAAAAGGCTAATAAAAATCTGCACGTAAAACCAGCCATCAGTCAATTCGGCTGTAAAGGAATTGGAATTGGCCGTAACACATGATCAGTGCATCCCTACACAGGAACGTGGAGGAACTTAAAAATGGCTGCACTAAAAAGTCTGGCAAAACTTCACCAGTGAAGAGACCCAGAGAGTCTGAGTTGTCTGCCGTTTATGCAGCTGTTAAGTAAAAATACCGAAATTGTCAGGTTCGTCTGATGCTATGTTTCATTTATTTTCCAGACGCAGTCAGTGATGTGGAGATGCAGGAGCACTATGATGAGTTCTTTGAGGTGAGCTACTGACTGTTTTGTGACTTCAGGTTTGATCTAAAAAGTTATGTCAGTAAGATCTTGTTCACTTCCTTTAATTTCAGTTGAAAGTGCTGTTTAAACCAGGCTGTGATTTATCAGGAAAAAAGTTCCAGTAGTGTTGACTAAAAGAGCAGAGCTCTTGTACATTTTTCACTGCTGTATTTATTCACAAGTTAATTTGATTCAGAATCTGTCAATAATTGTATTATTATTAGTTTTTCTCAGCCATTAAAGATTCCATATTCCTTGTTTTCCCAGTTAACCCTGGCTTCAATGCTGAAATCATTCTGTAACACTTTAGATCAGAACATCTTTACATTTCTGGATGTTTTGGTATTAAAACTGAAAAGACAGTTGTTGATGATTGCTTTCTTCGATTTCTCTGTCTGTTAGGAGGTCTTTACAGAGATGGAGGAGAAGTATGGAGAGGTGGAGGAGATGAACGTGTGTGATAATCTGGGTGACCATTTGGTGGGAAATGTCTATGTGAAGGTGAGTGGAGCAAGAAATTAAACAAGGGCACAGTTTAAATCTGGAGGAGAGCAGTGAGCCAGAGAGATGTTCTGTTTAACCCTCATGAGAACTTTATACATAGTTAGTCATGTTCAGGTCAGTGAGTGACCTAACAAAACATTTGAGTCACAAAGTATTCCTTGGGGATGTGTTTGTGGGCGGTTTCATGTTTTTGTTACATCCAGTTCATTGATCTGGTTAGTTTGGGCTTCACAATTTAGCGTGCACATTAAATAACTTTGCATGACCTACGTCCTGTCGTCATCACCTACGTGTGCTGCATCTCCCTATACTTGACACTGTTTGGTTTTAGAGGAGTGTGTGTCTGACATTAGGGTGTTGTCAGTTGGGCAGGTAGCCTTTTCCAATTGCATGCAGAAAAATGTCTCATCCTTTCTCTCTCATCCTCTCGGAAAAGAAGGTATACATTTCATCATTTTTATGCGTTTTTTTTTTCCAAGTTAACTTTTGGCTTTTTCGTTGGACCGAATTACAGTTAAAAATTTTATCTTCTCCTCTCCATGTGTGCCATCACGGCTCATGTTTACTTCTCTTGTGATTCTTTTTCTTCTTCTATTGTTTGTGTGTTGATAGCCTCCTCAATTTCCTGTAATTAGTCTAAAAGTCAGAACCAAAAAAGTGTTTTCACACTGCAAACGAACCAAACCATGGTTTGGATTGATCCGGGCTGAGACCACCTCTTTTGGTTGGACCAAATTTTGGGTTTTTGGGCTTTTGGTCCAGACCATGGTCAAAGCACCTTTCACACCTGCTCTTGGTTCGGATCAAACTGAAAAGTCCGAAGGTCCAGACCAAAACAGGTAGGTGTGAATGCACCCTGAGTTAACTAATTGAGCCATTAGGAATTCTGCAGTTTCCTCTCACTTTGCTCTGTCCATTGTTTAAGGTTCTGTCTGTTTATGGTGCAGTGAATCAACAGAAGACCCCTACAACATCACCTCCCTATGCTTTCTGTAGTGTATTTGGAATGACCGGATGTATCATATGAATACTGCAGAGCATTATAGAGCATTTTTGTTTAAATAAATGACGTTTAAACTTTTTGTTCTGTAATGATTGATTTAACCTTATTAACTAATCATTGCAGCCTTATTAAGTGTCAGTGTTTACGACATGTCTGAAATAAATCTATGGGGAACATCGGGAATGGGGTTTGGGGGTGGTATTTTACACAGGTATCTAAACTTATCTCAGTATTCCTTTTTATTTAGTTGGATATTTAAATAAGGCATATAGGATTTGGAAATATTGATACACAAGCAGCTGGTGTGTCGCGTTACACAAAGTGTACCCTTGTTTAATACATTATAGTCCAAAATATTATTTTAATTTTTCAAATGGAACACGAGAGAACCTAATTTTTTCTTTAAAAAAATGTGATGTCAGGCCACAAGTATTGATTAAATATTGATGTGTTTATCATTCAATCTTATGGGTGTGTTAGTCACATTCAGTATATCTAGGACAGTTTCCATTTCCACTAGAGGAAAAAAGAAACCTAGATCAAGTTTTGACGATGTACAGAATAATGTAAATCCTGTCTTTCGCTTTATACCTCATGGTGGCTCCTGTCGTTTGTACTCAGAGCTCCAAGCTGAATCAGAGCCTCAAACCACATGCACACAGAACCACTGTAGAGCCTCAGTCAGCTCTGTAGTGCTGCTGCGAGAATCGATGTTGAACTTATTTACTAGAATTGACTAATACCCAGGGGTTTGTGTCTTGAGTCACATTGCCTAAAAATTATGAATTTGTCACCATTACTACACGATGGATCCAGTTCTCACACATCGGACTGGTTTTGAAGGTGTCTGTCTTCATCGGTTAAAACATGAAAACATGAGCCGCTTATGTTGCAGCTCACATGAAGCTCACCACTGTATGTGTTAAGTTAAAACTACACAACATGAATCTCACGCATGCATAAAGGAGAGATGTATGCATTGATATCCATTATCAATAAATAGAAAAAAGTTGTGTATTTGTATTTAGCCTCATGGCGTTGAGCGACTAGGAAAGATTTAATTTTGCTACAATACCCCAAAAGCACCTGTAGTTTCTTTTGCAACATTTTGTGCATTTTTAAAATTTGACGTTTTTGTTGATCGTCCACAGTTCCGTCGTGAGGAGGACGCAGAGAAGGCCGTGCTGAACCTGAATAACCGCTGGTTTAATGGGCAGCCCATCCATGCTGAGCTTTCCCCTGTCACAGACTTCAGGGAGGCTTGCTGCAGGCAGTATGAAATGGGGTGAGTGATGTTACACACAGCCCTACAGACCTCGAACCACATGGAGAATACAGGTCATCTTTGTTAAATTCCTGTGATTGCAAAGTTCGCATCTTTTATGGACCTGCATTCCTTGATTTTAGCTTCTGTAGTGACTCTACAGAAGTTTGTGTTGTCTGCTAAATTAACGTCGGATAATTTGCATTACTCACTTATGCCCACAAAATAGGGGTATGTCTTCAGGGTAGCCATCTTTTCAGACATACATATGTATATTTATTGTGTATTTTGAGGTCGAAGTGAATACTGTGTTTTTACCACTCTCTGCCCATAGTGTACATACCAGAGCAGCCTTCAGTGATTAGAGTGAGCACTTTAAGTACTCATATACAAGACTCTTGTTAGATTGAAAGATCCAAGTGTAACACAGAATACGAACAACAATGACATAATTCTCATAAGCCTGATAGGAAATGCTCTGTTCTTGGTACACAAAAAAGGTGCCCCAAAGGATTCTTTGAGCAGTGCTATAGAAGGACCGTGCTTGAGAGAGACTTGTATGAGCATTAAAAAGCCTTTTAAATGTTTAAGAACATACATACATACATACATACATCATCTAAACTGCTTATTCTTCTGGGTCCCAGTGGGGTGCTGGAGCCTATCCCAGCTGTCATTGGGCGGAAGGCAGGATACACCCTGGACAGGTCGCCAGTCCATCGCAGGGCTGTTTAAGAACATCCACATGTAAACGTTCTTTACCAGTTCAATAGTTCTTCTTAAATCTTTACATTATGTTCGGTTCTTCATATTTGCATGTTCTTTCCAAAAATAGTTCTCCAAAGAATCATCCGTTTTAAAAGATATTTTGATATATTTGTTTTTAGAACGGTCACACATGTACTGAAAAGCTGAAACAACACGGTACAATTCAAGCTTATGACCTGCTTATTCTGGTCCAAAAAGAAAATTCTCTGCTGTGCTCTCACTCTACATTGTCTGACCACAGTTCCTCTGTCTTCCTCCAGAGAGTGCACTCGAGGTGGCTTCTGCAATTTCATGCATCTAAAGCCAATCTCACGGGAACTCAGGAGAGAGCTGTATGGCCGCCGACGAAAGAGGTGTGTATGCTTCTGCTTAAGTGTGTTTTAAATGCTGTATGGGTTTGCTTTGGCTAATATTCCTTAGCCAAGGCGTCTTCCTTTATATTGGTGAAACATCTGTGGTTGACTTTCAGTCCAACTGGAATTTAGATAAAAAAAATGACTTTATTGGCACTCCACACTAATGCTGTTAAAAAAAAGCCTATTTTTTTAAGCCTATTAGAAGTGTGAAGTATTCAATGCAGAAATGAGGTCAACAAGTTCATAGAGTTCCTGACCGATTACATGCTGTAAGACAAACATGCAGGACCCACGAGTGGCGCTGTTTGCTGGAAGGGTTGTCCTATTGCTGAGACCTGAGCTTGTCAGCTGTTCTGATATTGCACGAGAAACAGCTTGAAAACATGCACTGACCAAAATGCACATCCAACAAATGAAAGAAGGCTAATTTATATTTTTATATGTATTTGTTATACTAGGAAAGTGTATTCTAACTAATTCTGATGTTCTAGTCTTCATAGGAGTTAACGGAGTATTCTGTTAACCACAGGGAAGAAAAAGAAAAAAGGGTTTCTACCTCTGGTTTACTTATTGTAGTTTTTACTCTTAATACAAGGTAAACTGAAGCATTAGTGCTAGCAGGCTAAATCAACAGCAAGAAGGACAATTAAGCACCAACCAGAGGTGTACACTTCAATCTTTTGGTCAATGTGGATTAAACCGGTAGGTTTTCGTGTCAGGCTGAAGTAACAGAGGCTGCCCCTTCAGATAAGTTAATGCTAGATAAGATACTTTGTTATTGCACAGAGTACAGCGAAATATGGGCTGCAAACAAAAAAAATTAAGTAGGAATAAAAGCAAAATACAAGCTAATATGAAATGCAAGATATTAAAAGGAAAATACTATATAATTTACAATTATAAAAACTGGTGAATATAAAAATATGTAGCAGCTATGATATTGCACAAGGGTGTTGCACATTTATGGATGATGGTGACTCAAATTCAATAAATATATAAGTGCTAATGAGGGAACATATAGTATATATTTGCATAGGTGCAGATAGACGCTCAGTTCCTGTGTTCATACTGCCTGAATGGCAGTGTACATTGTCAATGTTGAGCAGTGTTCAGTTCTCTTGCTATGCTAATAGAGTTCGGTTCTTCATGCATTCTCCCTGACTTGCTGACTTGCTTCCTCTAGGAACTTGTAGGGCTTGTAGATTTCGTGCAAGATGGCAGTTATTTCTAGAATCAGTACCATAAGCTTAACTCTTAAAAACTCCCCTCTGAAGCCGAACAGTGGGATTGTTATAGGTACCCTGCCCTCCGTGCGTGTCTAAAATTCTCTTTTCTCTCCTTCAGGCATCGCTCCCGCTCTCGCTCTCGCGAACGGCGCTCTCGTTCCCGTGACCGCAACCGAGGAGGTGGAGGTGGACGGGACCGCGAACGGCGGAGGTCCCGCGATAGAGAACGCTCCGGAAGATTTTAAAACCATCCATCTCTCCTCTTCCTGCTCACAACCTGCCCTCAAGTGGTCGTCTTCAGCCCTAATGGCAAAAAAAATTAACCAATGTTGTGTTTTTACATTACTTGACTTGGTCATTTTTTTTTTCTGTAGCCCACCCCTTCCCAATTTGTCCTGTATCCCCTTTTTACATACATAGTTTTGGTTTCTCAATAAAACCTTAGTAATTGTACTCTGGCACTGTAGTATCTACTTCCATGAAATATAGGTTACTGAGCAACATCTTATTATCCTTGACTTTGCCTTTATTTTGTGAGCTTAACTTGAAAAGGAAAAATAACTACTTACCATCTTTTAAGGAAAAAAGATCTGTTAGGGTGCTTTTGGCACAAGTCTATGTGGAATGGCATGTATTTGTGTCTAACTGATTATTTGCCTCCAGCTGATTGATTGATTTTTTTTTCATTTTTGTTATCCAATTTCGGCAAAGTATTGTCAAACATGAATTACTGTAATTTTAAAATTTGTATGCCAAAAATGGTTATGGCCAGAATTAAATTTTAAATCAGTATCTCTGGCGGGGTTGTGCTTATATGAAAAAACTGATTCGAAAGAAAGTTAAGTAAGACAGACCGTAAAAGTAGGAGGCTTGTGCTGTGGAGGAACACAGGGTTGTGGATCAAGTTGCGCACTTAATGGGGACTTTGCACTGAAAAGGCCTTTTTAGGCCTGGGCCCATATTCCCAAAGCTCAGAGTGCTGATCTAGGGTCTGTCAGTACAGTTATAGTAAATAAGAGAGAAACCTGATCCTAGGTCTTACCTTGTTTCCTGAAAACTGTTACTTAACTGTCTTTGGTAGAAAAGTTAGAAGAAAACTTGTGCTGTATTCAGTGGGTCTAGAAAGGTCTTAAATATACAGTGCTATTTCACCATTTCAATGGCATTAATTAATTTTTGCTGGTGAAACCCAGATATTGAGTTCTCAAAAGTTTGGAAAAAGAGGTGGAAGTGTATCTGTATTCCAGGTTTTTTTTTATTTTTTATTTTTTTTAATGGATTCGTATAGTAATTATTTGATAAATACTTACATGGGCTTCTATGGGGCCTAGAACTGCACACAGTTTCAGGGCAAAAATGGTCTTGTACAACCGTAATCAGAGAAGTTAAACCTCTTGTTTTTGGATTGTGTGAATTATTTATTGATGCTGTAACGAGTTGTAAGACTGCATATAGCTTGGTCTCGTCAGACGATATAAATAGTAGTTCACCGCATTATTTTCGAAGCTTAAGTCAGCTTCTTGTTCGAAGTTCCACGTTCCACCTTAAATGGTGCAGCAGTTACATGTAGCGGCTGAGGCTATTTAAGGTGGAACGGGGAACTTTGAACCAGAAGCTGACTTCAGCTGCGTTTCAAAGTCTCTAAAAGGAAACTCTGCTGTCCTGTACACTGTGGAAGCCGATAGGCGACGATTGTTTTCCATCTGTACTTCGCTTTAAACATTAGGACAAATTCAACATCTCGTTCATATGTCTTAAACAAGCTGTATGGGTCTCAAAACAAGCCTAAACGTGTCTGTTTATCTGTTTACCTGTTTTAATCCGGTTAACCGTCGTTGCTAGATGACTGCAGTGCTCGCAGCCCTGAGAGGAGGCGGCGTTTTGTTTTGTAACTACGACGAGAAGGCTCGACAAAAATCCCGACCCCTGATTGGCCGAAATCAGCAGACGCCCCCACCGCAGCCAATCAGAGCACACCGTGAGCAAGCCATATCTGGCTTCTGATTGGTCGCCTGTCGGCTCTTTAACGCATGTGAGCAGCTGGCAAACCCGTGTTCTCTCTCTGCGTTGAGTTATTAGGAAGGTCATCGCCAAAACCGGCCGCTTCATCTCCGCGCCAGACACTAATTAACCCTCAGGTGAGCGAAACCTCCGTTTATTACCTCAAATCAGCCTTTTACATTCATTCGAGTATGTCGGTGGGTTTTCATTGCCTTTGAGCATCGCAGTGTGACTCTCCTCTTGCCTGTTCACATGCTGTGCTGACCGGCTTTGTTCAGAGCGGTGTGATTCATTTATACACTGTTTTAGATTTGACCTCTGTTTAATTCACTGTAACATTACCGAGCATTTTGAAGCAGCGTTAGCGCCCAGAGCTCCGTGCTGGTCTGATGAAACGGTCCCAGCATCTCTAGCACAGGCAGGCTGAAATGGCTTAGTGCCGATTGCATCATCCAATGCAGAAAAGCCCATTTAACTCAGACTATGAGGACTGAAAAGGGTTTTATCACTATTATTATTATTATTATTATTATTATTATTATTATTGATGTAATTGTAATGTTATATATATATATATAGCATTAATAAAAATACTAAAAAAAATAGGAGTAGCAAAGTGGCAAACCAGCAAATGATAGACGATTTATATGTGAGTGAATCCTTGTTTATTCTGAAATTGGCCTTAAATTTGAAATAACTATCTTTTTCGTTTTTGAAAAAAAAACAAACACTGAGACTATGAGGGTTTTAAAAATACCTCCAAACCAGCCTTTTACAAATCTCTTCTCTGGAAGGAGGATCTTAGTTTGTTAATAAGAAATATAGCCTGTGCAATAAATCAGTAATTTAATGCTACACCTAGATTATTCCAGTTTAGTTAAAACCCTTCCCGCACTATGAGGGTCTGTAATGTGGCCAGAAACGCAGTTTGTATTTAGCTGCGTTCCTGTGTCTCTCTGTTCTGAGTTTATCGTGAGTCAGCGAACAGAAGTTTTGTATTACAGCGTTAGAGGGTCCGTGTTGCCTCATTTCCACAGACTGAGTAAAGGACACCATTTTAAGCCTATCCACAAAGGTTTAAATCCACTATAATGGCAAAGGTAGAGATGATGAACGGTCAATGTAGGGTCAGTATCTGCTTCTCCTGCTCCTGAAGATTAGCTAGCCCTGTTCATAACGTATACTGAGGAAGTTCGCCTAATACTGACGCTGATAGTCCAGCTCTAACATGTAACATCGACTCAGATGCTTAAAGGAACAGTTTAAAGAAGCAGAATAGAAAAGAAGAAAGTTGAATAAAATAGAGTGAATAGAGTTTAAAACCCATTAGTCACTTTTTCCTTTCTCATTAAATGCGCGTTGTTTATTATTGGTGCTTTTTGTCAGGGTGATAAATGAACAGGGATGGATTTGGTGTTGGTGTTTGTGCATTTATGTGTTGTTGGTTTATTCTGGATTTTTTGATAATTAAGTGGATGCATTTCTGTGAAAACAGACAAAGTATGATCTAATCTATCTAATTTAATCTGATTATTAAAAGGAGGTATCATGGTCATCCATGGTGCCCGATGAAGGAGCCCTTTGCTCTGTATTTTACTTTAGAAACTGTGAATAGGCACAGGAAATGCTGCTCACAGTCTAGCAGTAGAATTAGTTAGTACACTCTTTAAAAAGATGGAGCTGCAAGGGTGCTTTAGTAAAGAAAACTGCAGGATTAAATGTTTCTTTGCATCATGAAATTGTTGTTCATATTGATGGAGAATGTGCTGTAGATGGTTCTCTATAGAACCTTTTTGAAAATGGTTCTATATAGCACCCAAAAGGGTTCTTGTATTGTTACAGTGTCAAGCTTGTAACATTGGAAGAACCCTTTTGGGTGCTTTATAGAACCATTTTCAAAAGGTTCTAGAGAGAACCATCTATAGCACATTCATGGACATTTTCTGTCAATCCGAAGAACCCTTTCATAATGCAAGGGGTTATTTGAATGTTTATGATTCTATATAGAGCCATTTTCTTTATTAAAGAACCTTTGAAGCACCATCTTTGCTTTCTTTTGCCATTATAATAATCACAACCCTCATCGACAGCATTAAAATCATGCAATTTTATATTAAAAAGGGAGTAACGCTTATATTTACTGCTGTAATGATTGCAAATCTTAATATATAGAGGTAAATAAAAGGAGCTGATGATAGAAATAATGCATTTCCTTCCATATCACAGCCTGTCATATTGTCTATCCACACCAACAGTGAGTACTGCACAGGTTACTGCACTCTAAATTACAACACTCCTACCTGTGTTACCTGCTTTGTCGGTAACTGGCCACAGAAATATTTTAGCACGTTTTGTGTTTGTATCTGTTTAAGGATGAAATGTGTTGTTAGTAACACACCTGTTTTAAGAGTGGTTTTAACCTGGTTTGAGTTTTTTTGGGCATATGACCAACATTTCATGGTCTTTGCAGCATACACTGTTCATCTCCTTCAGTTTGTGCTTATGGCAAATGTAAAAGTCATGCTTATACTGTCACCCAGCTCTGTGATTTTATACTGAAAAACAGTTTTTAAAAGGCCTGCCATAAAACAGCTAGCTGTTGTTATTGCTCTGAAAAACAAATCTATGATGATTCATGCAGTTGGATCCTTTTTACACTCCTGCTGCAAGTAGACTTGTTTGGGCATGATGCAAGAGAAGAGGGAAGTTACCCAGACGTTGAAGTCTGTTCTTTCCTCATGGCTGGTCACTTCAAATAAGCCTGATTTGCGCATAAACAGGGAACAGGCTGAAGTCAGCGTGTATGTATGTGTGTTAACTCATACCTCCCAAACCAAAGCACCTATACTGCCCTTCGTTAAACGCACTTTTATGGGAGCCCAGTTGAACTATTTGAACTGTTAAGCTTAATGACTGTGCATGCTGAGTCACTATTGTTGGGCATTTAAAGTCCAGTTGACTGAAAGGGAGCAGTGGATAACACCACCTCCCCTCACACAAGTTTGTAGGTTTTATTCCCTAGTCAGGCAGGAATGTCACTGCTATAGGGAAGGAAAGTGGTCCCAATATCTCCTGCTGTTTGTTTTCAAAGCAGGTTTGGTACTATATCAATTATCAAAGTGATTAATTGAGAGTAAAAGACATAGAAAAACTATACATTATAAAGAAATCCAGTTTTTACAAGTGTTTTCCTAAAACTGGCCTCTGAATTCAATTCAGAATGATTCCCTCCCCATACAAATAAGAGCATATAAACACATGTGCTATACTAACAAGAGTACTTGGGCTAGACTCCCAATGTTGCGCTCACTTTCCACTGCAGGTGACGCCACCCTGCCTTATAGGATTGGAATAGGTGTTATTTTTGTTAGCTGACACTGCAATACGTGAAAGACCTCTCTTGGCAGCTTTGTAAGCTCACAACACAAGAGCACAAAACAGCTGTGTTTTTCTCAGAGGAAGCACAGCTAGATGTTTGGTAGAGCTGATGTACAGCTGAAGGAAAGGTCTATGGGATGAATGCTTAACAAAGCCAGATATTAAACATGATATTAATTTGGCTCTAATAAAGCTGACGTCTAAACATTCAGGCCATGGGTTATTTATAGGTAGATGTTGCTACTGCTTTTTCAGAGATTCCCAACAGCTTCAGCTCTGCTCTTCAGGGTGTAAATTACAGAAGAAGTGTTTGTGGACTCATAGATACTGGAGGAAAATGCTAAGACAAATATGAAATATTTTAAATACTAAGATACTTTTGGAAGTTTTTTGACACAGAACAAAATCTCACAGGATTCTCCCACAACATGATGCGGCCTTCCCCATTCTTCACTGTTGGGATGGTGTTTGTTTAGGAATAGAACAGTGTGAGGTTTGTGCCACACATAGCATTTTGAACTCCATTTTTGTCTTTTCTGACCAGAAAACCTTATCCCACGTTTTAGCTGGGTCAGTCTGATGCTTTCTGGCAAACTCCAGATGTGCTTTGGTGTTTTGGTCAGTAATGGCTTCTTTCTAGCCACCCTCTCATACAGGCCAGCTGAATGCAGAGCTCTTGCCAGGATTGACTGGTGCACCTTCTTTCCAGTCTCACGCAACAAACTCCGTTGCTCCTTCAAAGTGATTTTTCACAAAGTTTTTACTTGCTAGATTTTTTCAGTATATGCAGCATTATTTCTCTTGTATTGGTTACCCAATGCCTTTTCTATTTGAACAGTTGTTTTTCTGAAAGAGACTTTATCTAAGTTTCTTATCTGAACAGGAGTAATTCTATTGGAAGTCTGCAGTGATGCGCACTTAACCGCTGATTCACTTTACAGTTCAGATTAGGGTGAAAGGCGGTCGTTCTTATCAGGAGGTGTACAAAAAACATGGAAGTGAACGTGCTGTTGACTCTTACCTGTATTATGCCTAGTGCTACCTTCCAGCCTTTCAGTGCACTATGGGTTTTCTAGAATGAGGCCTCCTTGTTTGTTGCAAAGCTGACCGAAGTGTTGGTGCTGTGTTGATCCTTTGTCATGTGATGAAACATTATTTTTTGTAAACAAGTGAATCGACATGCATTGAAATAATGCTGAAACAAAATAATCACAGTGCATTTTTAGGTAGGAGGGTACAGGATGTTTCTGTGTTATGTTGAATACTGAGCCTGTCTCATCTTCAAATGTTGCTCCACCATTTAGGCCTTTAGCTTATAAGGTTATTGTTTGTTTAATCTTATTGTTTTAATAAAACTGTAAAATTGCCTGGCGTTGGAAAGTAAACTCACACTCCTAAAAACAAAGGGTTCCTTATTTCTGCTATAGAAGAACCACTTTTGGTTCAGATTCAGGGGATGGTTCTTCGGAGGACTGTTTTTGTAGATGAGATGTGTATGTTTGAAGAACCTCCACGTAATTTAAAAGTTCAAGGAAGAACCTTAATATTTGTGTAGAACCTCTACAGTATGTGAAGGTCCTTTTTTAAACCTTTTAAAAAGTTCTTCACACTCTCAAATCTCTTTGTAAATCATGTATTTTTTAGGGAACCTAAAGAGTTTTTTTTTTTAAAGAGTGGAAATGATGCAACAGGTTCCTACCATTTGCCTATGCAAAACAGTCTGGTAGTTATAGAGAAAGCTTTCACCTGTCTTTAACAGTTCCAAGCCAAAGAATCTGGTTTGGGTCAGTGCCCATGGGTTACTGTTTCAGTTCCTGCATGTACACAGCTGAGATCGAGGCTGTTTTTGTATGATGTTTTGAAGTTGAGAAGGTGTGTTCGAGCTGCTGCGTTTTGGTGGGTGTGTCAGTTCTTGGCTTGGCAGCGTTTTGGCTTTCTCTGCTCTGTCCTGTACTGATTAGTCCTAGTCACGCAAGGGCCTAGGTAATACGGTACTTTATCAAAACAAGTAGTGTGTGAGTGAGCGGGAGTGGGGGGTGTATCTAGAACAGAGCTAAGGTTACCAGATCTTATCAGCAGAGGTGATTCTGAAGACCCTGCATTGCCATTGTGTTACCCAGAAGTGTTAATAAAGAGTCAAAAATGAGTCAAAAAGGATTGTATAGATGTTGTTGAAATGAGCCTTTAGGAATGTTCTTGGCAAGAGAAAAGAAACTGGCATGGAAGGAATATTATAATATTATAATATTTAATTTTAAACATTGTTTATGGCAGGAATACTTGCATTTTAATTGATCTCTTGTAACATTTTGACTTGGGGGCATTGCTAGCTGGCAACCTCTTTTCCAAGTGAGACTTTTCTAATCCCTATTGTAGAGGATTACTGCTGCTACATATCACTCAGCTCCTCCATCATAGTCTTTTTTGCGGCTCAGCATATTAGATAGCTTAACTGGTTTGCTCTGGCTCAGAGAACGTACAGCATTCTGAGCTGCAAGCAGATGAAAGATGTAGTGGTGGCAACAGCCAATCATAGGCTAACAAATCATAAACTAGTCAAAACTGATCACCAGGTGGGATTATCCCAGATAGCAGCTCACTCAGGGATTAGTCAGTGTTTTTATGTTTACAGCTCAAAGAACAGCCACAAACAGTAATATGTTGTAATTGTGTTCCTTTTTTTTTAATGGAAACCACAAAAAATCTGACTGTACTGTTGCCTAATCCAGTTTCTTGAGTCTCAAGACTAAATAAAATCGACTTTACTTACTTACTTACTTACTTACTTACTTACTTACTTACTTAAGAGAGATTGTACTTGATCACTTGTCTGCTGATATTTCTCCTCCAAAAGTTTGGAGAATCACCATTAAAGTCCCTGTCAACTCATTTTCATGGTTTTCTTCTATTATCTGTAGTACTTTTTCTTCCTCTGTAGGAATGATGTTGCTCTTTTCTGTTGAGAGATTTTTGAAATTACTTGTTTTCTGGTCTTTTCTTCAGTTCGACTTGATTAGGGCGGGACTAAATTCGGTGCAGGTGATGTCAGATCTGCTAAAGTAGCAAACCAATATGTATACATCAGCTACTCACGCTCCTCTCACAGAAATGACTGCTCTCGCCCTGCTCTGAGTCCCAGACAAAACTCCCAGCAAGTGGGTTATTTAAGCTTTTCTAAACTTGTCAGCGGTGCTTGTTAGGAAGGGTTATAGCGCCGCTGTTTCCTACTGTTTACTACTTGAACATTTATCTTTTATTAAATTGCTTTAATTTATGTATATCCTTAAGTTTATTAGGGCACCATGCTGATTTGTTTGTGTAATTTTCCCGTCTTTTCGCTTCAGCTGAGCCATGCCTTCAGTACCTTCTGACTCAGACACTGCCACTCTGGCTCCTGTCTGCCCCCACGCCGCTAAGAAGATGGCGCTCCTGAATGGGGAAGGGATCAGGGTGGCGGCCAACGCCTCTACTTATACGAAGGGAGAAAACGGTCACAGTGTTGAAAATGGTTCGACTAACATGACCAAGAAACTGGAGAACGGAGAGCAGGTTGAGAATGGAAAGGAGGGCGTCAAGGAAAGGAAGTGGATTCGTCCAGATCTGGTCAGCAAATGCACTTGGAGCCTCGGTGAGCCGAACAAGGATTCCCCACACATGCATTCTCAGCGGTGAGAAAGCCATACATAAAATGATCGTTTCCAGATAGTGTGATCACATTAGTAATGTTCTCTTAGCAGTATTAGTCGTTTTGTATTTACATTCATATTTTTTGCCTTTTTATTTTTTTTATTTATTTTTTTATTTTTTAATGTATTCATTTGTATTCATGTTTAGTACCTCAACACATTACAGTTGGATGCAAAAGTATGGGCACTCCTGGTTAAATGACACATTTTGTTGATTTTCTGAGTGAAAATAAGTTAACATCTTCTAAAGAGAACACACTTCTGCAAACTTCAATGCACAATTACTGTTTCTTTGCTGAATTTACCATATTAAAAAAAAAGATAAAACACCAACTGTGTGCAAAAGTAATGCTACATTTTATATTTTATATATTTTTTCCAGTATGCTAACCTCAGCAAATCAATAGAAACTGTGCACTAATTTGCAGAAAATGCAGGAAAAATTAGTTGGTTCACTGTAGAGGATGTTTAAATTTCTTTTTACTTAGAAAATCAACAAAACACCTCATTTGACTTGGGCATTCAAACATTTGCATATTTTTTTTTTTCTCCAGCAGAAACGATGTACTTATTAAATGCTTTACTAAGTCTAGCCCTGAAAACGTACACATCCGTGTGAAATGCTGTTCTGCAACCTTCTCCAGACGTTGAGTTCTTGAGTTAAGTTCTCATAAACACCAGTGTCCTGCCTGGGCATGCTGAAGATCATAACAGCAGCCTTCGTTTGGGAAGTGTGATGCACCTGAAGCTGTAGGAGGTTGAATCAGCTGTGCTCTTTCCAAAGATCTTGTTTGTTTTGTCTTGTTTGCTGTGCTAGAAAAAGGAGAAGTGCTGTTAAAGCCTGACACTGTGACTCGTACAGTGGATTGCTGAGTCATAGTTACTGAAGAATGCGACTCATTAATTAAACAGGTGGTTTCAGGATATGACCTTCGCCTCATTACTGTGACCCTTAGCCATACATAGACTTCCTGCATGAACTGTAATAATTATACTCAGTTGATTTAGTTATTACGTAAGCAACCATGAGGCATTTTACAGACTGATGACCTCAGATTCTCCTAAAACCCTCCACTTTGATCATATTCTACATACAGTAATATGTAATATATTTATATGTATGCATAGAATATGTTGTCTTTAGCCAGACATAGACTTCCTGTGTGAGACTGTGATATTCATACTGAGTTGGTTTGAATAATATAATGAGGCCTTCTACATGCTCCTTAAGCCCTTCACTTCACTCACATCTACTAATTCAACATATTTAGAAAATATATATATATATATATATATATATATATATATATATATATATATATATATATATATATATATATATATATATATGTATGTATGTATGGGTACATACATTTATAATAATAATAATAATAATCATAATAATAATAATAATGTGAATTTTTGCCAAACATAGACCTCCTACGTGAAGACCTGCTTCAGGTTCCTCTTCTAAAGGCTGCCACTTTGATCATATTCTTCATAAAATAATATATTTTAATATATATAATATAAAATATATCAATATTTATATTTTAATATATATACATAATGTTATTATAAAGCTGGGGTTTTCAACTTCGGCTGTTCTAATGTGGCATATTTGTCACAGTTTTAACTTAGGACTGCCTTATAAAACATTACTTATTTTAGTGCACCAGGAGAAAAACAAGCAACCCAGAAAGATTCCACTATTGATTAGCATTTGTTTGCGCTCCAGGGGGGTCCTCCACAAAGCAGAGTTTCTTTGTAAACCTAGATAACTTTAGCCCAATGTGAGGTTTGTCCAATACAAACATCTCTGACCTCTTATTCTATTGGACAGGCTTGAGTTTTGGCTTAACACACTTGGCTAACTGAGAAAGCTGGCTTTGTGAAGCACCCCCAATTGTTTCCCTTGTTCCGGTTCTTGTATTATGTATTGTGTCTGGACGTGTAACAGTAATATGCTTCATCTTCCTACAGGATGAAAGTCCCCAGCATTCTGCCCAACATCCTGGGAAGGATTGGGGACACCCCGATGGTCCGCATCAACAAGATCCCAAAAACTTTTGGACTGAAGTGTGAGATCTGTGAGTATTGAGTCTTCCTTGTCTGTTTTCTGTTACTGAAACCAGCGTTTCTTAATCCTGCTCAGGTGTGCTGGACCAGGGAGTAGGGGACACTTAAATGATAAGTTATATAGTTCCGGAACACTGAGTAGGGACAGGTCGGTGGGGCAGGCGGAGGTCATGCAATACATTAAAGAAAATGGTAGGTTTCCTGATGACATCAGATCTTAGGATTAATGAGTGTTTTAAATGAGGTTCTTAAGCACAGAACATTCTCTCATTTGTGAGTTTCCCAAACCCACTCATTAAATGGATTCCTCAGACAAACACAGTGTTCCTGCTAAAACATGAGCACTTGATAAATCCAGGTTATTTATTTATTTATATTTATTTTTCCACTGATTACTGCCACCTGTGAGTTACTGCTGTCGTGAGATGGCTGATAGATGGTAATGGCTTGCCTGTTTAGCCCCAGAGGACAGAGCTAGCTAGGAGGCTAGCTAGCTCTGGCATCTGCAAACTCGAAAGGTGGTACAGCTTCCTTCATTTATAAACAACTGTTTTTGTTCGTCAGTACCCTGAATAATAGTTATATCCTCTTATATAGACCAACACAGACCCCATAAACATGTTCATAATGTCAGATATGCCTGTACAGCACTAGACTCAATGCAGCATTTAGTAAAAGGTTTTCTGTCATGTTGGGGGCAGTTCATGCTGAGTGGCTACTCATCCAAAGACCTGTCACTCCAAAACGGGTGACCAATGGAGAGTGCATTTGAATGTCCTCTTCTAAGCCCCGCCCCTGTTAAAAGTGCAAAAACTCAGAAGCACAAGAAGCAAAACAGCAATTCCAAAAGCAAAAAATGAAGCAAAAATTGGCAAAATGACACAAATGTATATCATAATGAGAGAAAATGAGTAGTAATCTTTTTGATAAAGTTTGATTTAACTCTCTTATTTGTATTTGCAACAGAATATTGACATTTTTCATACTCAATATTTTGCCTGTGGAATTTAAAATTTTATTTGAAACTTTGTGGCACAAAATTAACTCCACACCTGTGCTGTTGTTTATGCACTCACACATAAGCTCTTTCACTTCAGCCTTCTCTGTTTGTAATGGGGCTCAGAAAGTCTCATGAAGTTGAGTCAACTTCTGATCTTTCTCTGAAAATCGAGACTCATTTGGCCAGTTTGGAGAGCTGAGGAACCAAAAGCTGGCAGTGACTATAATCCTCAGGATGACTGCTAAGGGGCGAGTCGGCACCAAGCCGGATTTGATTTGTCACGAGGGGCTTGGAAGTGGCAATTCTCACAATTATCAGTGCTTCAGTCCCTCACAGTATTTAAAGTGGGCCTGATCATTTTCTCTGTAACATACACACACACAAATGCACTGTGTGCTGTGTGTGTGTGTGTGTGTGTGTGTGTGTATTGTAATTAACAATGCTATGTATTGTGATACATACATAATATGAAAAATGGGTCAGTGAAACTATAATGCAGTTGTGGTTAGTCTTGACCAAGATAATTTCCAATTGTTGGATTACATGAATACCTTGACTCATCAAAACATCTAGAAAACGCTCGTCTGGAGCGATGATGATGATGATGATGATGATGATGGAAAGATTAGTCATTTACATGTTGCAACCGACTCTTCTGCGGTATCAGTATTACAAAGATCAATGTTGCACTAATGACTAATAAATGTATACTTTGCAACCCTACAAGCCAACAAACTGAAGGAATTGCAAGGCATAATTCATTGTACTGACTCTAAAGATATTCTATTCTATTCTATTCTATTCTAACTCATAAATGACAGCCAGTCTCTTTAACATTTAAGATCAGTTTTCACACATCAGAGACTTTCTAATAACATCAACCTCATACAGTACAGTACAGGGTGAGTGGGTTCAGTAGAATGGGTCAGACGGGTCACAGGCTTCTGCTTAAGCCCCTCTTTCATTTAACAAGCAAGTTTGTTTAAACGTGTGGAAGTCAAAGCCAGATGATTCTGAACCGCTTAATGAAGTTTGAAACCAAGCGTTGGATATTTCTAGAAAGCTCATGTGAAACAGATTACCCCTTCTTTGTCTGAACAGAAAGACTTTGGAACGAGTGCCTGTTAACTGTACCTACGTATGTGTGTGTGCGCGCGTGTGTGTGTGTGTGTGTGTGTGTGTGTGTGTGTGTGTGTGTGTGTGTGTTTAGTTGAGTGTCTAAATTACCACAGAGGTTAAAATCTAATCGGATATTGTTTGAAAATCCAGCTTCTGTGGACAATCCCAGAAATGACCAGCCTCTCCAAGAACACGGTTTACTAACAACCTGTGCTGTGCATTTACATGAATAGTTCAATCAACGCGCAGTTCCGCACAATGACTCAATTAGCCGACCATGTACTCCACCCGCCATTTGCCTAAGTAGTAATATTGTAAACTTTTTTAAAGATAACAATGGGAGAAAATAATGTTTTAAAACAATTTATTTTAGTGTCACAAACTTCTGTAACAATATAACACAGAACAACTTTCCAAATGAATAAATAGGAGTTCTTGTTTAGCCAGCTGACTTTAACCTTAGTTGGATCTAACCCTGGATTTTCTGTCTTACAACGATAGATTTTCGGGATACATCACCTTGGCAACTTGTGCTGCACGGCTAATCTGCTCTAGGATACTAAGCACTAATACTTTGACAGAGGAGACTGCTTTTTACCATCTCACATTCTTTCATGCCAAACTGTCATTTGAGTTAACAGCCTCTGGGTTTTGTGAAGCTGAAACTTAAGTCAAATAGCCTGTCTAGGTTGATCCTGCTTTGTTAGGCAAACCTCAGGCGACTTCTTGTTGCCCAGTCAAAAACCAAAACAAACATTCACGCACACGCGCACACGCGCACACACACACACACACACACACACACACACACACACACACACACACACAAGTTATCTTTAAGCTTTTCTCATTATTTTTTTCTTTTCTGTTTTAACCCATTGCTTTCCCCCCTCACTAGAGCATCTTAGATGACATAACGGGACATTAAAACCCAGACGTAATGGGGGGGGGCCTCTAGTGCCTCACTACCACCAATCAGCTGTTATGTCACTTATTAGGTAGAGCTGGCAAGATTCAATTTATATAGCGCCTTTCACAAACCCAAGGACGCTTAAGGACATTAGCATTTTGGACTGAACTGAAAGTGTTAAGTGTTTAAGTGAAGTGTTTGCTTTGTATTGGTGGTGTACTGGGATCCTAAAATCGTGGTAGCCCTAAACTCATCTGTTTGATTGCACTCAAATGATGCTCCTAATGTTTTTATCCTTAGCACCAAGATGCTTTCATGAAACATCTATTTCATGTGTGGTAAAATTATTCGTTTAATGAAGTTTTATGCAGGTTTTATGGTTTCATAGTAGTTTGATGTAATGTCTTGGTTGATGATATTGGTTTGTGTGTTTGCAGTGGCTAAGTGTGAGTTCTTTAACGCTGGAGGCAGTGTGAAGGACCGTATCAGTCTGCGTATGGTGGAAGATGCAGAGAAAGCTGGAATCCTCAAACCTGGAGACACCATCATCGAGCCCACCTCTGGAAACACAGGTCTGTGTGTGAGAATATATGAATGTGGATCTAGGCTGTGCTGTTTGTGTCAGGTTTAAAACTTGCAGTTAAAAGCATATTTGGCAGTCTTTTACGCCCATGCTAGGAAAGCCACTGTGCACCCTCAAAGACTGTTTGTGTGTGGGAGAGCCAGTTGAACCAGATAAAGGATTGTAAGAAAGGCTACTGTTCCGCCTGGCACAGTGAAAACAGCTGCTTTTCGTTTCAGTTCTTTAGGTTCTGCACAAAAAACTGTTGTACATACAGTGCTGTGAAAATCTCCTGTTTTCTTCTGTTTCTGTCGCAATTTGTCGCAATAAATTTGTCGTAATTGTTTCAGATCTTCAAACAAAGTGTAAAATAAGGCAAAGATAACCTGAGTAAACACAATATACGGTTTTAAAATGATCACTGTATTTATTAAAGGAAATAAATATTCAGCACCTACTGGCTGTCTGTGAAAAGTAATTGCCCCCTTAGTTACTCGATGAACCAGTTAATTAATTTTAGTTTGGCTAACTTGGATCAATTAAACTTGATACACCCAGACTTGGTTGCTGCCCGCCCTGTTGAATCTAAATATCACATAAATAGAACCTTTTCACCTATGTGACATAAGCAAAAAGGTCTCAATGAGCAGCACACTATGCTGTGATCGAAAGAGATGAGAAAGTACATTATTAAAATATTTTAGTCTGGAAAGGATTACAAAGACATTTCTAAGGCTCTGGGACTCCAGCGATCCACCCTGAGAGCCATTATCTCCAAAAGGAGAAAACTTGAAATAGTGGGAATTTTCCCAGAAGTGGCTGACCTACCAATATTCCTCCAAGGGCACAGTGACAAATCATCCAGGATGTCATAAAAGAACCCAGACGAACATCTAAGGAACTGCAGGCCTCGCTCACCTCAGATAAGCTCAGTGTTCATGATTCCACTATTAGAAAGAGGCTGGACAAAAAAGGTATCAGTGGGAGAGTTGCATGATGAAAACCACTGCTAACCGAGAGGAACACAGAGGCTCGACTCTCATATTTAATATAAGCATCTGAAACCTGTTAATGTAACAAATATGCAAAAACACAGAAAATCTGAAATATGTTACAAATAATTTTCACAGCACTGTAAACATTTATGTTATAAGGGGCATAAACATTTTCTATGAAGCATATGTATGATAATTTATGTGTAGGATGATTTGAAATGTCAGGAACCACCTAAATATGTATAAGACACTTCACGTTAGATTGATATCATGTGTTTGACCAGTTGGTGTCCTGATGTTTGTTACCCATTGGTATAATACATAACGGTAAAGATTATATCAAGCCACATTAAGCCTCTTAAAGTAATTTGGGTGCATCCTGACTTTTGACTCACCCTGTACATTGTGGGTGTTTGGTGTGTGGTTTCTTACTGTGTGGTTTCTTACTGTGTGTTTTCTCAGGGATTGGTCTGGCTCTGGCTGCAGCAGTAAAAGGCTACCGCTGCATCATTGTCATGCCTGAGAAGATGAGTATGGAGAAGGTGAGTGTCAGAATTCTGATAAAATCAAAATCAATGGGAAATCCTAATGCACTTTTCTTCTGTACTGTGACATTTCTGAGAGAAACAGAATATCAGGCAGGGCTTCTGAGCTAGCTGAGTGTTTTCACAGGATGATGTAAAACAGAATGATAATATTGAGGTAGTCAAAATCAGATGTTTTAGAGGGACAAAAGCCCTTTTTCTTCTGTCTGACATGATATGATAAGTCATGCTTAATATGACCAGGTATGTGAACAACTAACAGGTTGACTTTAAACAAACTCTGGATAAATAATAAATTATGTACGGTTGAATGCGAAAGTTTTGGTGACCCTGATCAAAACTGAGCATGGCGTTAGTTCAGGCAGGCCACAAAGTCAAGTTCAGGCCCCAGTCTCAAATCACCAGCAGTTATCAGCTGATCTCAATTAGCTAATGGCTCAGCTGATCGCCTGCTACGCGTACGATTGGCTAAATGTGTCAGAGCGTTTATTTAACCTGCCCATTTTGTAACCTGCCTCTACTCCAACTCCTTCATGCTTGATGCCTGCTCAGTTCTGTACCCTAGGAGGGTCTTTCTGCTGCTCTCTCTGTGTTAGACTTCCACTGAGTGGCAGAGAGGGCCCAGAACAGAGTCATACCATGAGATATAACTCACTGTAAATGGAAACAAAATATTTTGTTTGACGAAGTGGTCCTGACTGAATGATATGTTTGGTTGATTGTGTGAATAAGTTTATTTGATGAATTTAACACATTGAGGAAAAAAATTAAGCATGAAATGTTGCCTGTGGAAAAGTTATTTTATCATTTATTAGTACTTATTTTATTATTTATATATTTTTTCCCAGTATTTTAAATTCAGCAAATAAACAGCAATTGAGCATTAAGATTTGCCATAAAATTCCATATTTAAGATTGCTCCCTGTATAGGATGCGTGTACTGAGTTTCATTTATAAAATCAAGAAAACACATAATTTGACCAGGGGTGTTCAAACTATTGCATGTAACTGTAAATGTTATGTTGCGTCTACATTCTAACAGTAGACAGTGAACGGCAAGCCAGACATTTGATAGTTTTCAGTGGAGCTTCACTGAAATTTCCACCAACGGTAACGACTGCACACATCGTCTTGTTGAAGTTTAGGTGCACAACATAAAATTAAGAGTGCAAAGCATCTTCCTGACTGTTTCCCACCTCTGTTCTGATAATCATGTGTTGCTGCTATCAGTCATGTACTGCTCTAGTGTTTTTTTTTTGTTTTTTTTTTCCCCAACATCAACATGTAGACACAGCAGTAGAGTTAACATTACAGGATGCAGCTGAACACATGGAAAGTAGCTCGGTTATAGATGGATCAGATACGTGCATCATTTATGCACAGTATTAATGAGTGTACAACGATTTTCTAATTTGATTGTGTGTTAGGTGGACGTCCTGCGTGCTCTTGGTGCTGAGATTGTTCGGACTCCGACTTCAGCTCGCTTTGACTCTCCCGAGTCTCATGTGGGCGTGGCCTGGCGTCTGAAGAACGAAATCCCCAATGCTCACATTCTGGATCAGTACCGCAATCCCAGCAACCCCCTGGCTCACTACGACACCACCGCCGAGGAGATCCTGGAGCAGTGTGACGGTAACGTGTGCATGCGCGTCTATGCGTGTACAATACAGTGTAGACAAATGACATGACACGCACTGATAATCTATATAGAGAGAGTTTATGATTTAAATGCATCATGAATAATATATTTTGTTCTCTTCATGATGTAGAAATAATGCAGTTCTTATTAAGGCAGTAACCGTAACGTTACGTTGTACTGCATTACCCCTCACACTGATTATAACTTTATTCTGAATATCGCTCAGCTTTCTCAGTCATTATGGAATCGCCCACAGCTCGGTTCATTATTCTGGACTAAAATTTTATTTATTCATTTATTTATTTTTACAGACTCCTCAAAGTTATTTGAAATCTGTGACGTTGCACAGGACTAGCAAATTAGTCATAATATAGCTACATTTATCTGTAACCAAATTGGTTTTACATTTGATCCACTTCTGAACAGTAGAGTTTGTGGCTAGATAAAGTACATTTAAGCCCATACCCATCCCTGATCCTGCATTAAATGCTGGATTGTGTTGCTGATTATGAAACTACCCAGCAGCAGAGTTCAACACCCCCCTGACAAGCCAAAGCAGTCTTACTTTCACCCTCATTTCTTACTGTGTTTACTTGTACTATTCAGTAAAGTGGGTGACAACTAATTGTACTGCAGCCTTGGATTGTCCTTATAATTCATTAATCATGTGATCTCTGTGCTCCTGCAGGTAAAATAGACATGCTGGTGGCTGGAGCTGGCACAGGCGGCACCATCACTGGCATTGCCCGTAAGCTGAAGGAAAAATGCCCCAACATCAAGGTTGGGCTCAAACCTGTCCATCAAACCAACACTGTCTATAAATACAACTGCATTTTATTAATTTAACAGCCTTTATAAAGCATGATGTGATTCATCAGCTGTGATTCCTACAATGTTGATTATGTTAGTCCACTCCCTCTGGATAAACCCACGTTTTACGATGCCATTACAATGACAAAGGGGTGGACTGTATTTAAAACATATCATAAATAAGAACAAATGGGTTGCAGTTATTTGTTTTGAACTTTGAAGAGACACTTGTGTGTTTCTTCTTCTTGACCGCAAGTTTTCTTTGGACTATCAGGACTAGTTGCATGAGTCTGTATATGAATCATTGAAATGAATTCAGGTTAAACTGCTTTGCTTCCTTTTAAATTTACAGTAGATAATCCCTGTACAGGGATCACTGCACAATAAGACTACCCCAATAAAGCTTTCTGAATAGTTTAAAATCAGTTTATTGTTTAAGATAAAAAAATTAATAAACAGTTGTAACACATGAATAAAAAGGGCAACAGTGACCTGTTGTATCTGATGAATATGAATATCTCATAAAGCTGACAGATTTAATGCTGACTGGACAAGACAATATCAGTAACCAGTGCCTGTGTGTTAGATTGTCGGTGTGGATCCTGAGGGCTCAATCCTGGCCGAGCCAGAGGAGCTCAATAAGACTAATAAGACCCTCTATGAGGTGGAGGGCATTGGATATGACTTCATCCCCACCGTACTGGACAGATCTGTAAGTTAAAACTGTCATTGTCATCTCTGAATGCTGGTCTGTTTTTTTATTCTGGGTTCAAATGAATGTGTTTTGTCAACAGGAACAGGATCAGCTCATCCTAGATCAGTATTTTGGTCTGAGAGGCTTTATACATGTTATCTTCATTATTGAAAATGCTTATCTGAATGGCATGCAAACTGGAACAGCATGTTTGTTTAGCTTTTCTTTATAAGGCCATCAGGAAAGATCTTGGTTTGTCTCTTCAGTGATAACTGGTTACATGCCACAGTATGTAGTGCTAGGCACATTTATTTAACCACTTTAAGCCTGAGCCAAAAACTACTGCGTCACTATACTTCACACTTCAGTCTTTTATTGTAACTCTTATTAACCAAGTCAGTACTAAGTATTTCCATAGCAGTGTGAACTGCATTCAGAATATGTGTGCTGAGTTGAATCGGATCTGAAATTTTGGTCTGAGCTTAAATACAGCCCAAGAACTTTCTGTCCAAGTTGAGTTGGACCCTGACCTGAGGCCCAAACTTAAGTCAAGCAAAATTCTGTTAAAAAGTGACCCAAACCGGCCCAGCCACCAACCACAGTGCCAAATTGATCCTAACAGGACAGCTCAGGTTACCATTTAGTGACAATAATAGCCTCTTTCTTTACATAGAACATACTGAATGTAACTGACCAAACAAATGAAATATTCTTTTGGCTGCACAAACCTGTATTTCCTAAATTGATTCAGTTTATGTACCACTTTCTCTCAACCTTTTGTTTCATGTACCTTGCTGCTAAGTGGGTGACTCCAGTGTGTCAGGTTAAAAGCCAATTTAAGAAAAAGAAAGTAGTGAAGAATTAAGTAAGGAGAAAAACTAAAAGAATTAAGTAAGGGGAAATGCAGGGTAAGATCTGTTAAAAGTTTGAAAAGTGGGCTGTGAGATAGAGGGCGATATAGCAAAAATATAACAGAAGACATTTTCACAATACACTATGTATAACAATATTTAGTTTCTCTGAAGTTTGATAAGTTGGAATTTACTAAAAACTTCTTTATCTATCTGTCAATCTAATAAGTGTTCTTTAAGTGCTGATGACATCCATGATACGCTCAGATAATGGCAATGTGATGTAATTTATCACAGTCACAATAAAATATCGTCATATTGCCCTCCCATACAGTGAGAACCTGGAAATTAAATTTGAACTCAACCCAAGCCTGTCACAAGTTTGGAAAATTGATGTCCGAACCTGACCAAACCTCACATGAGTAGTTGGGTCCTGTTGGGTTGGGGCAAACATTTCAAGCTCTTCTGTGCACATGCTCACTCAGAACCTTTCACAGTCCATCCAACAATAAAGGCAGAATGGAGCTTCTTTTTGTACAGTGATAAAAACACGGTAGCACACAGGCAATTCTGATTCCACATGCTGATTCCTTTTACTATGAATAGCATGGACATGCATGCTCACCTACTCTGGGGCAGATTTTAATGAGTTAAAAGAGGTAACGATTCTAAATGTATGACTGGTAAGACATTAGATCTGACTGGGTTAATGGTGTAATATTTATTAGGAGTACTACTAACCCCAGCATATGCTGATATGCTTGCTCGTCATCAGGTTGTGGACAGCTGGTACAAGTCCAACGATGATGAGTCCTTCGCCATGTCGCGCATGCTGATCCGTGACGAAGGCTTACTGTGTGGTATGTACTCACCTGCACCTTCTCTTGACCATTACACTATGTATGGACAAAAGTATGTATATGGAGTCGGTCCCCCCTTTGCAGCTATAACAGCTTCCACTCTTCTGGGAAGCTTTCTACAAGATTATGGAGTGTGTCTGTGGGGATTTTTGCCAATTCATCCAGAATTTGTGAGGTCAGACACTGATGTTGGACGAGAGGGTCTGGCTCGCAATCGCTTTTCTAGTTCATCCTGAAGGTGTCCAGTGGGGTTGAGGTCAGGGCTCTGTGTGGGCCAGTCAAGTTCTTCCACACCAAACTCACCCAACCACGTCTTTATGGGCCTTGCTTTGTGCACTGGGGCTCAGTCATGCTGGAACAGAAAAGGGCCTTCTCTAAACTGTTCCCACAAAGTTGGAAGCACAGAATTGTCCAAAATGTCTTTGTCTGCTGAAGCATTAAGATTTGCCTTCTCTGGAACTAAGGGTTCTAGGCCAACCCCTGAAAAACAACCCCATGTCATTATCCCTCCTCCACCAAACTTTACAGTTGGCACAATGCAGTCAGGCAGGTAATGTTCTCCTGGCATTCGCTAAACCCAGACTCATCCATCAGACTGACAGATAGAGAAGCGTGATTCGTCACTCCACAGAATGCATTTCCACTGATCCAGAGTCGAGTGGTGGTGTGCTTACATCACTCCATCCAACGCTTGGCATTGTGCTTGGCCATAGAAACCCATGCCATGAAGCTCCTGGCACACAGTTTTTGTGCTGATGTTAATTCCAGAACTCTGCAGTTATTGAATCAGAAGAGCGCTGGCGACTTTATGCACTATGCCCCTCAGCATTCAGCGACCCGCTCTGTAACTTTACGTGGTCTGACACTTCGTGGCTGAGTTGCTGTGGTTCCTAAATGCTTCCACTTTTCAATAATACCACGTACAGTTGATCGTGGAATATCTAAAAGGGAAGAGATTTTGCAAACTGACTTTTTGCAGCGGTGGTGTCCTATTACAGTATCACGCTCAAACTCAGTGAGCTCTTTAGACTGACCCATTCTTTCAAGGCAGACTGCTTGCCTAGGTGCTTGATTTTATATACCTGTGGCAATGGAACTGAATGAAATACAAATTTAATGATTGAGGTGTGATGTCCCAATACTTTTCTCCATATAGTGTATGTGATGTGATCCATCACAGACTGCATCATCAGAGTCACTGTTTTATATGAATATTAACCCTTTAAACTTCACACTTATTATTGAGTTATTAATCTGTGTGATTACATTTGTACATGTAAACTTATGGTCCCCTCTGCTGGTGTGTATGAAGGTGGTAGTTCGGGCTCAGCCATGGCGGCAGCGGTGAAGGTGGCTAATGAGCTGAAAGAGGGCCAGCGCTGCGTGGTCATTCTGCCAGACTCCATCCGCAACTACATGTAAGCAGCCACTGACTCTTCTCATGCTTCAGCTGTGTAATACGATACGGTGCCTGTCCTTAGGGGACCGCACAGCCATTTACAGACAGTGTCAGCTTTCAAAGAAACTGACACTTAGCACCTACATAAAAAGCTAATTATAAATATGCAGGCCTTTTGAAATAGTAAATTTCACAATGTAGCAGGTCATCTCTGTAAAAAAATTCTTCTAATGATGTGATAATTAGAAGAATTGTTTTGAACTGGCTAGTGCACTAAATTAACAGCTCAGCAAAAAATATACTTTACACAATTTTCCACTCTCCCAACATTCAGCTGATGAGCCAAGACATGTTTGTTCTCCAAATTTTGCTTCTTTAGTTTAGAACTGGGGCTACAATGCTAATGTAGCAAATAAACACTGGAAGTTAATAGTCACCCAAATCTTTTCTGTAATTACATCCACAGAACCTCTCTCAAACCACATCTACAGCTTAGTTAAGGTTGCACAGACGTGTCGATGAACTTTAGGACACAGTATACTTTACTATGAACTATAAAAATTAATGAAACTTTCTGTATAGCTGAATGTAGTGGTCATCCATTTTAGACAGGTGTTCTGTTTAATTTTATCAATTACCACAGATGACAAATGTGTGCTTACAAAGAGTAATTTGGCGCAGTGCCCATAGTATAAATTGGCTACTTGTTGAAGATTTGTTTATTTTTGTAACTCACAGTAAATCATAGTCTTTCCTAAAACATAATGAAGACCTGGATGTGGTTTAAGCAGGTTGAGAGCAGTTATCAGGGATGAAAACATTTGGGTGACTATTGGCATCTAATGTTATCAGCATTAGACTTGTGGCTCCAGTTTAAAACTAAAGAAAAAAGTTTGGACATTAAACATGTTTTGGCAGATCGACTAAATCTGTCTCGCTGTCTTTTCATGCTGAAAAAATTGTGTAGGTTAGATTTTTCATTGAACCGTTGCTTAAAAGGAAATCATGATCACTGACCGAGAGAGTCATTTCTTCCACAGGTCCAAATTCCTCAGTGACAAGTGGATGTGTGAGAAAGGCTTCATCAGAGAGGAAGACCTGATGGTGAATAAACCATGGTGAGACACTCATACAAACACACATAAATACATGTATGTAGCAGAACAGCATGGATAAATTCAGTTTTATAATGTTTCCTGAGCTGCTACTCTGCTTGTTTTGACTGGACTATTTTGTTATTTATCTTACTTTTCAG